TCCAGTTTTTCCAGCACCATGTAAGGAAGAGACTATCCTTTTTCCAATGTATGTTTTTGCTATCTTTGCTGTAAATGTGTGAATTTGCTTTTGGTTTTTCTATTCCATTCCATTGTTCTCATGTCTGTTTTTATGTAGTATGCTTTTTTTTTTTTTTTTTTTGCTTTTTTAAATATTTATTTTTTAGTTGGAGTTGGACACAATATCTTTATTTTATTTATTTATTTTTTATGTGGTGCTGTGGATCGAACCCAGGGCCTCGCACGTGCTAGGCAGGTGCTCTACTGCTGAGCCCCAGCCCCTGCCCTGTAGCACATTTTTAGATACTACAGCTTCATAATACATTTTGAAGTCAGGGAGTGTGATACTTTCATCTTTGTTCTTTTTATGCAGAATTACTTTGGCTTAGAAATCTTTTTTAGTTCCATACAAATTTTCAGTTTTTTTTTTTAATTGGTATTTTGACAGGAATTGCATTTACTCTATAGATTGCTTTCAGTACTATGGACATTTCATTCTTCCAATCCATGTACATGGGATGTCTTTCCATTTTGGGGTGTATCTTCTTCAATGATCTTATATTATTATATACAGTGCTGAAATATTTAATTTCATACCCATACCTAATGTGTACTATCATATCTATATCATGTTTCAAGCAGTATATCTTCAAGATATACCCCTAGAAGTGGGATATGCATTTTGGGGGGTTACTACTAGGGATTGAATCCAAGACTGCTCAACCACTGAGCTATATCCCCAGTCTTTGTTATTGTGAGACAGGGTTTCATGAAATTGTCTAGACTAGCCTTGAACTGTGATCCTCCTGCCTCAGAGTCCTGAGTAATTAGAATTACAGGTATCTGCCCGAGTCCTGAGTCGTTGGAATTACAGTGCCTGGCTTTAAATTTTGAGAGACTGTCTCGAGAATTCATTTAGATCACTTTTGAAATTGTAATGCTCTTGAGCAGCTGGGATTACAGGTGTGGGTCACCATACCTGACTGTAATATGTATTTGTAATTTTTATATTTATTCCAGTTATTATATCTATTTTTCCTATGTGGGGTTTACCAACTTGCACACTTACCAGTAATGCATGAGTGTAACTAATTTTCCGAAATGTTAAGAACAAGAGGGTTACAAGTTTAAAGCCAGCCTGGATTATTTAGTGAGACCCTGTCTAATAATTAAAAAAAGGGGGTGAGGGCTGGGATGCAGCTCAGTGGTACAGTATCCCTGGGTTCAACCCCAGTAACAGGTAAACATTAACAATGTTTTCAAACTCTGGAATTTTTGCCAACCTGACAGATGAAAAGTGGTTTCTCAGTTTAGACTCATGTGCTTTTTCTTCTTGGGTTTTTGTTTGTTTGTTTGGTGGTGCTGGGCACCAAACCCAAGGCCTCATGCATGCCAAGCAAATGCTCCACCACTAAGCCACACACCATACTTCACTTTTTAAAATGGAGGTAAAACAAACCTAATGTGTATAGCGCCATAGTTTTTCATTTATATACAACATAGACCTATCACCCAGAAAAAGATGATTGTTACCAGCACCTCAAAGACTCTTTCATATCTTTCCCATTCAATATCTCCCCCAACCCTCAAACTTTCAGAGGTAACTATTACTTTTATTTCTATTGGCACAGCTAAGTTTTATTGTTTCTGAACTTTATAAACATATGTACTTAATGTGTCTGGATTCTTTCAATCAACAATACGTCTGTGAGACAAATCCAGTATTGTGGGTGTTATGAAGTTTGCTCTTTTTTATTGCTGAATTTCATTATGTAAATAAATCTATATTTTATATGTAGTATGCTTTTTTATTTTTTATATTTATTTTTTAGTTTTCGGCGGACACAACATCTTTGTTTGTATGTGGTGCTGAGGATCGAACCCGGGCCGCACGCATGCCAGGCGAGCGCGCTACCGCTTGAGCCACATCCCCAGCCCCATAGTATGCTTTTTTAAATATTTATTTTTTAGTTGTAGTTGGACACAACACCTTTATTTTATTTATTTATTTTTATGTGGTGCTGAGGATCGAACCCAGGGCCTCGCACGTGCTAGGCGGGCGCTCTACTGCTGAGCCACAGCCCCCGCCTAGCACTATATTTTCTAGTATTGATGGGATTTTTGAATTATTTCTAGTTTCGGCTACAATAAATAATGTTACTGTGGTGCACACTTGTAATCCTAGAGTCTCAGGAGGCTGAGGCAAGGGGGTCACAAGTTTGAGTCCAGCCTCAGCAATTCAGCAGGACCCTAAGCAACTTAGTGAGATTCTATCTCAAAATAAAAAATAAAAAGGCTGGGGATGTGAATCAGTAGTTAAGCACCCATGAGTTCAGTCCCTGGTACAAAAAGAAAAGAGAAGAAAACAAAACCATGTAAAATATTTGGAATGTTGCATGGCATATAGCAAGCCATTGATCTAAGTATTATTTAATTAATATCTATAAGAAGAACTGCAGCTTGTTTCCTGACCCAATGTGTTAGAGAAGGGGAAAGTAAACTTTGCTATAGAAAGTTTTAAGTCAGGTGTGTTCTGAAAAAACAAACACTATATTTACATAGTCACTCCATTTATTTATTTATTTATTTAGGTTGTGCTGAAGAATGAACCCAGATTTATACATTCTAGGCAATGAGCAAGCCTTGAGCTATACCTCCAACCCCTAAATGGAACTTATTTTTAAAACCATCATGCTGGGGAGGGTGGTACATGCCTGTAATCCCAGCAACTCAGGACACTGAGGCAGGAGAATCACAAATTGGAGGCCAGCCTCAGCAACTTAATGTGAAACCCATCTTTTTTTTTTTTTAATATTTATTTTTTAGTCGTACACAATACCTTTATTTTGTTTATTTGTTTTTATGTGGCGCTGAGGATCAAACCCAGGGCCTCACATGTGCTAGGCAAGCGCTCTACCGCTGAGCCACAACCCCAGCCCAGAAACCCATCTTAAAATAAAAAAATGGGCTGGAGGTATAACTCAGTGGTAAAGTACCCATGCATTCAATCCCGTGTCAAAAAACAAAACAACAACAACAGAGAAAAACAACATTACATAATATTACACAGGTTTTGTGTATATTTCCAGAGATACATATACATATGTATATTTACATATGTATATCATCCAGGTTCCCACACACAAATAGAACCATCATATACACAATGTTCTACAACTTACTTCCTGTTTTTCATCTAATATGTGTGTTTCCACTTACACAGAATAATGCTATTGCAATAACTTAAGTTTCTGTTCATCAATGGCTAAAGCAGGGCTTTGTACCTAGAAGGAATCCAAAGCATACAGTGGAACTGTAGACTAAGTGTTGGAAAGCTATTAGGAGATCATCCAGTCTAGGTCTTATTTTATGGATAATTAAAACACACAAAGTCAAAATGATACCTAGCATGACAAACAAAATGATGAATGACTGAGCCAGCTTGAAGGTACAGCCACAGGACTTCAACAGAAATATACAGTTTTTTAAAATAAGAAAAACATAATAAAAGGTATAGTTAAAATAAGATACTGCAAATGTGAAAATAGTTCTAGGGCTAGGGTTGTAGTTCAGTGGTAGAGCGTTTGCCTAGCATGTGTGTGGTACTGCGTTAGATCCTCAGCACCACATGTAAATAAATAAATTAAATTAAGGTATTGTGTCCATCTACAACTGAAAAAAATTTAAAAACTAGTTCTATATGTAGAATAGTGATGACTAGGTTTGTGTGTGTGTGTGTGTGTGTGTTGTTTTGGGGTACTAAGGATTTAACTCAGGGGTGCTCTACCACTGAGCTACATCTCCAGCCTGTTTTGAAACAGGGTCTGCTTGTTGCCCAGGCTGGCCCCGAACTTGTAATCCTCCTGCCTCAGCCTCCCAAGTCACTGGGACTATAGGTATGTGCTACTACAGCCAGCTTGGTGTAGGAATAACTAGTACAGAGCATTCCAGCTTTTAAAAAAATGACCTCATATACATTAGTTCCATAGTCTTCTTAAAGCTAACAGGTTGCCCTGGTCTCCACGTTACAGAAAAGAGTTGGGAATGTAGTTCAGCAGTAGTGTGGTGTCCCTGGGTTCAGTCTCCAGTCACACACACACACACACATAGCAAAAGTTGGCTAGAGATGAAGGTCAGTGATAAAGCACAAAGCAAAGCACTTGCCTAAGAGTGAAGTGCTGGGTTCCGTCCCCAGCACTGGCCAAAAAAAAAAAAAAGAGAGAGAGAGAGATTTTGCTTTGGTGTGTAAGGCAATCCTTAAAGTGTTTCTAAAGAATGGAAAATGCTACCGAGATACACAGATGGGGAACAAAGTAAAAATGAACTCACACATAACCCAGTAACCACACTGCTCTCACACTACTCCTCGGTGAATTGCTGAGTGAGAGTACAATGATTTCAGCGGCATGGGTCGGTCCCAGAGACTCGAGGGGAATATGAAGATGGCTTCTCCGGTCTGCAGATTTTTATTAGAGCTCGTGCTGGCCCCACTGGCTCGCGCACCTGAGTTCAGGCACTTGAGCGAATGGACCACTGCACTTGCAGAGGAGCCCGCACTTGCCTGTGGGATGCACTCAGCTCAGGGAGCTGACTCCGTGCCATCCGCGGGCGTTTGCTCGGGGTCCACCTAAGAGTCGTGCTCGGTTCCCTCCCCTACACTGCCCGTTTGCGGACAGGCGTGTCCCCCGCAGCCACGCAGAGGCAGTGTCCAGGTGCCCGAACCCACCCTCGCCCCTGGAGCGAGCGTACCCAGGCAAGCACCGCGCGTGCTCTCTAGTCCGCGCACGCGCAGCCTCTCTTTTTCCTGGATCCTTTCGTAGTCCCGCCCCTTGGGGGACAGAGAGGGGGCGATTGAGTAAGCTGGCTGCCCATCAGACAGGGCTCGTTTCTTCTCAAATACCATTGGTAGACAAGGAAAAGACCCGTCCTCCGCCGTCTGCCTCCCCCCACCCACGACACACACCCCGAGAGCCTGCGCCACGGCGGAAGCAGCCATTGGCGGAGGCGCGAGACCGCAACTGCTCACTTCCGGCGCGGGTCGCCACGATTTCCCCCGACCCCTACGTCGCCTCGGCCTTCCACCATGGCCGCCTCTGTGTGGCGTGAGGAGAAGCTGGTCATCCGTGTCCTCCTGTAGCGCTACTGCCTCACCCTCACCCTCTAGGGCCCGGATCCAAAGGAGCCTCGCTCCGCAAACCCTGGGCGCCGGCTGGGAAGACCTCCCGGCCCCGACCGCGGGGGCAGGACTCCCCCGCCCCCACCGCTAGGGGCAGAAACTTAGGGTCTTCCCCTCGGTTAGGGTCAGAAGCCAGAGAGGGCTGCCCTCCCACGGCCCCAGGGCCGGAGCCTCGCCCAGCCACCGCGGGGCGCAGACCCCGGCTACCGCACTCTGAGCTAACGGCTTCCCTACAGCCCTGCCACCCCGGAAGCTGCCTTGCAGGACCGGCCGCCTTCGTGCCTCCCAGGCGCGGCCTCGGAGAGGAGGGCGGAGTGCCGAGCACGGGGGCCCGCGCCCTCCCCTCCCCCCGGCCTCCGGCCCCTCTTCCCGGGCGACCCCGAGTTCCCCACTTCTAGGACTTCCCACCCACCCACTCCCCGGCCTTTTCCCGTCTCCTGGCTGCTGCCATGGAGTTACAGAAGGGAAAGGGGGCAGCAGCAGCAGCTGCTTCGGGAGCGGCGGGAGGTGGAGGAGGAGCGGGAGCAGGAGCCCCAGGAGGGGGGAGGCTGCTACTTTCAACCAGTTTGGATGCCAAGGATGAGTTAGAGGAGGTAGGTGTGGCGGGTGGGGAAGGGAGTTAAGAAATTGGGTTGAGGGATACGGAGCGGATATGGGTGGGGGTGGGGGGGAAAGGCCTTCAAGTTTTTTCCAAGGCAACACAAACACTGCTCTAGTTTCCTGCTCCTGAAGGAAGAAGTGTGGGCCAACTTCCTGGATAGGTTGTCATAGTAACAGCAGCCACAGTCTGAAAATGGGTGAGGGGTGTTGGTGATGGAAGGGATACAGCATCCAGATTTACCGAATTTATTTATTTTTATTCCTTTCCACATACACATCACAGCTATTTTTAATGTCCACTCTGTTTCAGACCCAGATCATATTGACTTGAGAATAATGTGTGTGTGTTTGTGTGTGTGTAGGTGTCTTGGGCTGATAGGAGCTTGCAGCAGGCCTTGGACCCTCCTGTTAGATGGTATTATTGACGTCGGCAGACACAGCCAGTTGCCAGTCAACTAGGCATTTAGAATGAGGACACGTGAATAGTGTTAGTTCAGTAGCCTCAGCCACAGGAATGGGGTGAACAAGTGAATGTGACCTAGGGGACCATGTTCCGTAGAAGAGATAGAGAACACAGAGTTGCTGAGAAGAATGTAGGGCAGGGGAGGTAGCTCACTCAGTAGTAGCACACTTGCCAAGCATGCCCCATGCCTTGAGTTTAATTCCTAGTACCTCATTTTTAAAAAGGATGGAGTGAGGCAATACCATGGAACAGAATGGGAATTCTTAGGGAACTTGGTAGTTGTTCCTCCCTTCTCTTCCCCCAGTTGTTCTTCCCCTGCTGGTTTGGAGTCGATCACATATCTCTTTCCTATGCTATACACAAAGTTATTGACATAGGAATATAAGACCCAGCCCAGAACTGAGGCATGATTCCTGAACTATTTGTAAAGCCTATTCAGTGCTTCAACTCAGTGGTTATCTAGAGACAGGATGAGGAAATTAATAGGCCCTGGCTCTTCACTGTTCATTCTGCTGCTTCTGATTTTGTTATAGCCCTTTATCAGTTATTAGAGGGTAGATAGGCAGATAGGTGAAACTCATAAGTTTATTTGAAAAACTATTAGTTCAGACACAAGACAGTGAGACAGTGTGAATCAAGAGGTGGTTAAATAGCAACTGCAGATTACCTACCGGCAAAAGTCTACTTGTAGTTTGGCTTCCCCCCAGTAGTTCTCTGAACATTTAGATAAAGTTTGTTTTGTGGTTATTTTTTTTTTAAATCAAAATAAATATAATTAGAAATGTAAATAATACTGCAAAAATAATGTATTTCCAAAAATTAAATTGAGTTACTTAAAAAAAAAAAATCTTGCTTAGGATTACCTGGATATTCAAATTATCCTTTTTTTTTTTTTTTTTAACGAAATGACCATTTTGGGGACTAGAGATGTAGTTCAAATGGTTAAGTGCTTGCCTGGCATGCGTGAGGCCGTTGTTCCATCTCTGAGTACTACACCACCACGAGAGAAAGAAATGGCCACTTTTATGTCAGTAGTAAAACTACTGCCTTTGGTTCCTCTATCAGTTGTATGGAAGGGAAAAGACTAATGGTGGATGATAATCTGTTTATTCCTCATCCTGATTCCTACAGGGGTCATCGTGCCTGTGATTTAATTTAAACCACAGGGTAAGACAGCATCCTGTTCAGTAAACAAAATGATATGGCAGGAGGAGACCACAAAAGAAGGGAAGCATTTATTTTCTTGCTTTTTTAGACTGAGAATGAACTTTTTACTGTTTCCAGGGAGAAGAGGAAGGGAGAGTCCTTTTTTTTTTTCCCCCTAATCTCCATGGTGCAGATGTTTCTTATTGTGCCTCAAGCTCCTCTACTCTCCTTCCTTCTTGGCCTTTTGTCCTTTGCATTCAAACTTTCCAGCTAGCCTTACAACACTATTTTCCCCCCGTTTGTGGTTCTGTCAACCCCACTAGACCAGAGTGATTTTAAGGGCTCTGACTTCTTCATCTGGGCCTCAGCACAGATCTCTGCACACAGAAGTTATCAAAACCTGGTTGTTGGCCAACTGACCTGTGCTTGTTCTGGCTGGGTAATTTTCCTTTACAGGTCTATCTATTCAGGTACGCAGAGGTAGCCCCCTGACCATGTACACTTACTGTGTGTTGAGAATTATAGGGAAATAAGATGGGTGAGACCCAAAGTCTGCCTTCCACAGTTTAATCATCTGAAGACTTGAATTAACACACCCAAAAGAAGGTTTAAAACAAAGAAGATCTGATTAGAATAATGAAGAGGATGGGGTCATTATAGTTGGGTATGATTTGGAAAGGCTCTTTAGAGGCCTGGAGTATGAAGCATTAGTCAAGGTCAGGGGCTGAGACTCTTCTACCCCAGGGAATGTTCCTTGTATCCTTTCTTCTCTTTGACCTCATTCCTCCCTTTGAAGACCAGTCTCCTTGCTCATCCCCAGCCCAATTTGGGGAGGGAATGGGATAAAAATAGTGCCAGAGATTGGAGGAGTTAGAACATGTAGTTCCTACTTACATGAGCCTTTGCAGCTCCTGGTTATTCCTTTGTCAAAGAGGGGCCAGCCACCTTGAAGTGAGACTGAAAGCAGGAGCTGTGGCCCAGACAAGTCAGAACTTCTTGAAGTTATGGATAGGTCTTAGCATTGCATTTGATTAGAAGTATGTCCCTGCCATATTTTCCCCAGGGAATAATTTATATCCTTTCCATGGAATCGCTAGGGAATGGGCTTTGAGTCATTTCCAGTTTTTTTCCATAAATCATCATTTCACATAAAAGGGACTCCTTGTTGAATATAGGTTGTCCTTAAGTATCCATAGGGGATTGGTTCTAGGCCCATCAGAGGATGCCAGAATCTGAGATGCTCAAGGCCCTATGTCAGTTCTGTGTACGGGGAAAGGAAGGGCTAGCTGTGCTTGGAACCTGCTGTTGAGTAACTCCTCATTGATGTGGGTTCTTGAGGATTTTGCCCATTGGATCATTTCTTCCTTTCCTGAAGACCATAGAATTTAGTGCTTCAAGGCCAAAATGTCCCATAAAGGAGCAGTATATACTATTACACTCCCCCCCACCCCAACTAGGGATTGAACTCAAGGTCCTACCTTGCTAGGCAAGCACTCCACCACTGAGCTATACCCCCGCAGCTCGTTCTTTCTTTTATTATTATTTTTAATTTTTTTAGTTGTCAATAGACCTTTATTTTATTTATTTATTTATATGTGGGGCAGAGAATCAAACCCAGTACCTCACATATGCTAGGCAAGTGCTCTACCACTGAGCTACAACCTCAGCCTTTATTTTTTATTTTTTTGAGATGGCCTTGGTAATTTGACTAGGCTGCTTTGAACTTAGGTTCCTCCTGCCTCAGCATCCTGAGTAGCTGAAATTTTATTGTACACTTTTTTACCACACTATATATTTTCTTAGCTTAGGGTGGGAAATGAAAGATTAGAGGGATCCTTTTAACTTGAGACTCCAAAGTCAGTTTTCAGCTTCAGGTATATAATGGCAGATATCTGTTGCTGTTGTCATGGTAGTTATGGTCAGGCAGTCTTAGTACTAGAAAAATTAGTTGAGGAGCTCCTAGAGATGATAAATATTTACTCACCTCTCTGAGATGCTGTTGTAGAGTGCTTATTCTGAACAGAGCCATTCTGCCAGCAATTGTTGGCAGCTACATACATGATTTCATCTTTACTAAGGGCCTCCAGAGACTGGGGGAAGAAAGATATGGTTACTGGATTGTAGGAATCTAGTTTCCTGTGGCCCTCTTTGAGGGGATTTGATGCTTTTTTTTTTTAATATTTATTTTTTAGTTGTAGTTGGACACAATACCTTTATTTTATTTATTTTTATGTGGTGCTGAGGATCGAACCCAGGGCTTCACATGTGCCAGGCAAGCACTCTACCACTGAGCCACAACCCCAGCCCAGGATGTGGTGCTTTTGACATCCTGAATCGTTAATTCTCCATCCTGTATGGAGAAGTAATTTCTATAGTTCATGAGGAGTAGTGTCTTCTATACTCCCATTGCCTGCAAAGGACTTCCCATCACATTTCTCTCTCCATTGTGTTTATCTACTTTTCCAGATTCTGGACTCTCCTACTTTCTACATCCTTAGCTGGGCCTCCCTGTTTCCAGAGGCCACTTTGTCCTTAACTGGGCAGTGACCCATAGAAAATTGACTCAGGCCTCTGAGCAGAGCTTAGAATATCCAGGAGGGGCCTAGAGAAACTGTTCCACCCAAGGTCTCTGAGAGTTAAATCATAGCGAGAAACTCTACCGCTCATAGGGCTATGTAGCCAGCTTTGTAGGATTTTGGTACAGGGCCCATCAGGCAGGCCTCTTCTAGAAGTCAAAGGTTTACAGAGGTAAGTAGGAGAGGAAGCATTTCAGCCTACTCAAGCATTTATCCATGGCCTGTGGTAGGGGGTTAGTTTTCAGGGATCTTCAAGGACATGCAATTAGAAATAGTGGCAAATGTTTTGAAGAGTCTGTTCTTCGTAGATGTAGATTTGTGCAACTGATGAGCTTCCTTACAAATTGGATAGATTCTAGCTCAATGAAGGCTGTATGCTAGATGCTTTCAAATTTTTATCTTATTTAATCCTCAGAGCAACCTTGTGATATAGGAATTATCTCTATATGATAAGAAAACCAGGGTTTAGAAAGAGTAAATAACTCACCCAACATGAACCTAAAGCTAACTAGCAAGTGCGGTTCCTTCTATGCTGGGTTTCCTGTCAGTTTGCATTAGTTAGCTGCTGTTTGATTTTTTCCTCTCTCTGTTGATTCAGCAGAGATTTCTTCCTTTGATAGGAAACAACATCTAGAATTTTAGGATGCTATGCTGCTGCTTGTTCACTGTGTCCCTCAACTCTGCTTGTTAACCTCCGTTGGATACAGGGGTACCACCAAGAATAGTCTAGACTTGGCAGCTAGAATAACACTCTCTCCAGTCCCTGGTAAGAATCTTGGGTAGAAAGGGATGAAACTTTTTTTAAAAGGAAGCCCAGTGTGATGTTTTTCCTTCCCTTCTCTTTTTATGTATGAGGTGTACAAGGTAATGATGTATCTCAGAGTTTGTTGGAGAGGTGGTTTGTGACAGTCACAGCTCAGCTTTCATGTGATCTCACAGTTCCCTTTCACAAGTACGCAGGTGCTGTTTATTAAGGTGGAACCTGCTGATCTGACCTAATTTGGGAGATAGACCTGACATTTCCAGTGAAGTTGTAATACCTGCAAACCTGGCAGCTTTGGGTTATTTTAGGTTGAAGTTTTGTAGCTACCAGAGCTGCTTACATTAACACATAATTCTACCCTCTGCCACCTTATGTTCTTACCCAGGATAGACATACACAACTTCAAGATGGTGGTTAGAAGAGAAGCATGATTATCTTTCATGCCTAGACCTTTTCCCATTGTCCTTATATTCAGTTATTAACAAGATGTTTTGTTCTGGCATCTATAGTCAAAGGGAAGTAAACCAGCCTGCCTTTGTCACAATTTTGCCAGCAGCATTATCATTGGGGATCATTTTTCCTTAAACAGTTTTTGGGTTAATCCTCATGATAAAAGTTTTAAAGGACTAAGGTTTAGGTGTTGATAGTGGAAAAGCTTTCTGGCAAAATATATGAGATATATTATCAATATCTAAATGTTTAGTATCAAATGCATCTTTGAAACAAGGAACCAGTGACTAAGATCTCTTTAGAAAATGTTGAGCACATGCCATGTTTGGGTGGCCTTTGAAAGTAGAATGGCCCTTGGATAGTTTTTAATATAGCTGTCCCTACTTTTGTTTAACTAGAGACCTTGGCAAGTTTTAGTCTGGCCTTTTATTCTGTCACTCCTTTTCTTTCCTCATACTCTCATTATTTTTTAAGTTTGTTTTTAGCATTTTGAGGGATGTTAGGTAGAACAGTATCTCCATATAGCTGTGTCTATATATTTAGTGCATGCTGCATGCATGTGTAGAAATATCATACATTCAATTAAGACATGTTAACAAAAAAGAAAGTATTTTTAATATATATTTATATGTGTATGTATGTATGTGTGTGTGTATATATATATATATATATATATATATATACACACACGTATATTTCTTTAAAAACCTTGCTTCTTGGAATACCAGCTATGGCCCCCTTCTCCCTCCCAGGAGAAGTCTATGTTACCCCTCTTATTTATTTATTTTTTGGTGGTGCTGGGGATTGAACCCAGGGCCTTGTGCATGCGAGGCAAGCACTGTACCAGAAAGAAGGATATGTTTTAGCAAATACTCAGTACTAATATCCTACCTATGAATGTTAACAGTACTCTCCTTTAAGCCATCTCCTGGCTTTACCTCTGGCCTCTGTTGGGTTTTCTGGAAGTCTCATGATTATCTCTCTTCTTGCTTTTTCTTTCTCTTTCTTGTCTCTGCTTCTTTCTCTTATTTACCTTACCATCCCCCCAAAAAATTTTTAACAATTTCTTACTATATAATCAGTATTTCAAGTCAGTAATCCAAGATCCATACCTTGTATTCTGTTTAAGTCTTCAATTTTCTTTCTTTCTTTCTTTCTTGTGTGTGTGTGTGTGAGAGAGAGGGCGTGGTGGGGAGGTACTAGGGATAGAACTCAGTCTTGTGCATGCTAGGCAAGCACTCTACCACTGAATTTTATCTCCAGCCTGACTCTTTTTTTCTTTAATATTATTATTAAATTTTTTTATTTGTTTGTTTTGGCAATGCTGGGGTTTGAACCTAGGGCCTTGTGCATGCTAGGCAAGTGCTGTACCACAGAGCTACATTTCCCAGCCTAGATTCTTTAATTTGTTTAATAACTTTATTTCAAAATAATTTCAAACTTAAAGAAAAATTATAATACATAGAATGCTCATATGCTTTTCACTTATATTTGCTGATTATTAGTATGTGGCACATCTGCTATATTACTCTATATATATACAGATATTTTATTCTTTTGAAAGTAGCAGCCATTGATGCTCCTTTAAATTTAAATACTTCCACATATATTTCCCAATAACAAAAGATTTTTTAAAAGTACTTTCTTTTTGGTTAACCTGTCTTAATTGTATGTATTTCTACACATGCATGCAGCATGCACTAATCAATCCAGCCTCTGTTTATTCACCCTTTCCTACCACTGCCTTTCCCAACCTCTAATAATCAGTATATAGATTCACATTGACTTGTTTTTAGTTTCTACATACATGGGAAGTTACATACATGTCTTTCTATATCTAGCTTATTTTACTTAAGATAACATCGTATGGTCCCATCCATTTTACTGTAAATGATGGGATTTCATTCTTTTTTGTGGCTGAATGATATTTCATTGTGTATATTATCACTTTTTCTAATCCATTCATATATTGATGGGCAGCTAGGTTTGTTCCATAGCTATTATAAATAGTGCCATAATAATCCAAGGTGTGCAGGTATCTCTTTGGTATCCTGATTTTATTAAAAACAGGAATCTTCCCTCACATATCCACCATTCCATTGTCAAGACTGGATAATTTGCCAGGCACTGTGTGGCACACACCTATAATCCTAGCAGTTCAAGTGGCCAAGGTAGTTTGCAAGCTCAAGCCCAACCTCTGCAATTGAACAAGACCCTGTCGCAAAAAGGGTTCAGAGCTCAGTAGTAAAGTGCCCGAGGATTCAATCTTCAGTACCCTGGGAGTGGGGCTGGATAGTTTAACATTGACATGTTGCTAGTTCAAGTCAGTAATTCAAGTATTCACATTTTATCTGTCATCCCAATTATAGCAGTCCAGGATCACACCGTTGTATTTAGGTGTCATATCTCTGTATTACTCTATTATTCTTTAATCTGTAACAGATTCGTAATCCATTTTGTCTTTCCTTACCTTAGCTTTTTTAATGTTAAGGCTTTTTTTTTTTCTTTATTCTTTTTTGGCGGTGTTGGGGATTGAACCCAAGGCCTTGTGCATGTGAGGCAAGCAGTCTACCAACTGAGCTATGTCCCCAGCCCCTTAAGGCATATTTTTGACAGGCCAGTTATTTTGTGGAATCTCTCAATTTGGGTTGTCTCAGACTCCTGAGTAGCTGGGACCCCCACATGCCACCACCTATCTTCAGTGCATCTTATCAGATGCATATAGTGTACTTTGGTTCCTTGGTTAAGGTGATGCCCTCCAGGTCTTCTTACATTTATTATTTTCCCTCTGAGATTTATAAGTTTGAGTGAATCTTCTTTCTCTTGAAAGTTTTACCTACTGGTAAACATCTATTGAAAATATTTGCCTAAATCAACTATTATTCTTGCTATTCTTTCTATATTTGTTAGATGGTGCTCTACTATAAGGAAGGACTTCTCCTTTTCCTTTTATTTTTTTTTTTAAAGGCAGTTAGAGCTAGAGACATCATCAGGTTTGAATTTTTTAAGAACTTTTTTGGGGCCATAAAGGTATTGTGTCCATGTAGAACAATGGTGGAGCACCTAGGCATGGTGCTACATGCCTAAAATCCTAGCTGTTTGGGAGTCTGAGGCAAGAGGATCATGAGTTCAAATCCAGCTTAGCAATTTAGCGAGGCCCTAAGCAACTTAGCGAGACCCTGTTTCTAAATAAAGTATGTAAAAATAGGGCTGGAGATGTGGTTCAATGGGTAAGTGCCCTGGGTTCAATGCCTAGCACCAAAAAAAAAAAAAAGTAACAATACTTCGTAGGTGATACTGACACACTGTTATTTTGTTCTCACTCTCCCCAGAGATTGGAAAGGTGTATGAACATTGTGACGTCAATGACAACTGGTGTCTCTGAGAGAGAGGCCAATGATGCCCTTAATGCTTATGTAAGTACAGCACTCCTTGTATCCATTTCTGCTTCTGGAAAGTTCTTAGATACAACCAGAAATATGGAAAGATTAAGTGGGTAAGATCTAGGGTTTTTTAACTCCTCTTTTAGGGTGGAAAGCTACCTACTAGAGTCTTATATGTTTTTAAATAACAACCTTTTAATAAATTCAGTTCGGTAGTAGTTTTTTCTTTGCAAATTATCCTCACATATTTTATCTTTTACGTTTCCATTGAACTGTGTGGTCAAAATAAATGGTACATGTGAAGGACTTAGAGTAATCTCAGGTTCACAGTAAATGTTCAGTAGGTATTACCTGCTTATTGTTGTATTTTTATTTTTTTGTTCTACATGGACACAATACCTTTATTTTATTTGTTTTATTTATTTATTTATTTGTTTGTTTGTTTATTTTATGTGGTTCTAGAGATTGAACCCAATGCCTCACACATGCTAGGCAAGCATTCTGTCACTGAGCCACAACCCCCACCCCTGTATATTATTCTTATGTCTTTTTTTTTTTTTCAATATTTATTTTTTAGTTTTCGGCGGACACAACATCTTTGTTTGTATGTGGTGCTGAGGATCGAACCCGGGTTCCGCCCATGCTAGGCAAGCGCTCTACCGCTGAGCCACAATCTCTTATTATGTCTTCATTTTAGAAATCTCAGAGACTTATTGATTTGCCCATAGTTAGGGTTGGTAGGTAGGCTTGTTGGTAGCAGCTGCCTTTTTTTTTTAGTTTTAGGTGGACACAGCATTTTTATGTGGTGCTGAGAATTGAACTCAAGTGGTGAACACTCTGCCACTGAGCCACAACCTCAGTCTAGCAGCTGCCTTTCTACTGTGTGCTGCTAAGATCTGATAGAGCGGGGGAGGAGGACTTTTTGGTTTTATTTTTCCTATCTTAAACACTCTCTTTTCTATTTCTGGCTTACTTCAGGTGGCTCGAGAAAGCAATAAAGGTTATCCCTTCCCTCCACCTCTCTCCTAAAACAGATGTCTCATCCTTTTTTTTGATACTGGGTGCTTTACCACTGAGTATACTTCCCAGCCTCACCCCACCCACCCAACCACCCCTTTTTTTTGGATACAGAGTCTCACTAAGTTGCTGAGGCTAGTCTCAAACTTTTTTTTTTTTTTCAAATATTCATTTTAGTTTTCGGCAGACACAACATCTTTGTTTTGTATGTGGTGCTGAGGATTGAACCCGGGCCGCACGCATGCCTGAGCCACATCTCCACCCCGCTAGTCTCAAACTTGAGATTCTCCCGCCTCCCCAGTTCCTTGGAATACCGGTGTGGGCCACTGTCCACCTAGCTTCATCCCTTTTAAGAGAAGAAAATAATCCGATTCAAGAGTTGATCATTCTCCATTGCATGTTAGGAGGCTTTAGTTTTCTGGGTGATACTGTGCTTGAATTTGAGTACCACCAACTACTTTATTCCCTTCCTCACTTTCCAGGTTTGCAAAGGTCCCCCCCAACATGAGGAAATCTGTCTGGGCCTCTTTACTCTTGTTCTCACAGAACCTGCCCAAGCCCAGAAGGTAAGATACCTGCTGTGGACCCACAGACCCTCTCAGACAGGATCTGGGAATATGGTGAAATTTACCATTTAACTGGGGACATATCAGACTCTTTGACTAGTGCTGAATCAATTTGTTCTCCAAATGTAATTTTAATCCCTTTTTATTCTCAGTGAATTGATTATTCTCCAAGTTCTTTCTGTTCCCAGACCCTAAAGCTAAAAGGCAAGAAAAGGCAGTTGTGAGAGTGAAAAGCACTTACAGATTGAAATTTTAGGTGTATGAGGTGAGGCTCAAAGGGCTGGGATCTAATCCTAGGAGAGAAGAAAACCACTGTAATGATATCAGTGAAAGTTCTTATTCAGAAGAGCATCCCCATTAGCAGGTGAATAGAAAGCAGGCTTAAATTTGCAGCAAGTAGCTGTAATCCTAGCAACTTGGGAGGCTGAGTCAGGAGGATTGCAAATCCAAAGACAGACTTAGCAGTTTAGTGAGCCTTAAGCAATTTAGAAAGACCCTGTCTCAAAATAAAAAAAGGCTGGGCATGGGGCTCAGTGGTTAAGCCCCGCTACAATCAATCCCCAGTATCAAAAAAAAAAAATTGGTGGCAAGTAGAATTTAGAGTAGATAACTAATCCTAGCTACTCAGGAGGCTGAGGTAGGAACAGCTTGGACAATTTAGTGAAACTCTGCCTCAAAATAAAAGAGAGTTGAGGATATACCTCATGATATAGCTGGTGCCTAGCATGCAGGAGACCCTGGGTTCAACTCCTGGTCCTTTTTTCAATGAAAACAGATTATAGAGAGTGCTGGAGTCCAACTTACTGAGGAATACAGTAAACCTAGTCTGTAGCTCTTTGTAAACAGAAAAGGAGTCTTTACGCAGAATAATATAATTGGGATTCTTCCTTAAAGTGAAGGTCTAGGCGGTATGATCTCTGTGCATTCTGTTCTTTTTATAATAACATAGCAAAATTAAGTCTTCTGCCTGCCTAGATTTCCCCTTTCCAGTAATTCCATGTCCTTTGAGTCTCGGCATGATGATGTATGTGTCTGGCCCGGCACGGTGGTGCATGCCTGTAAACCCAGCAGCTTGAGAGGCTGAGGCAGGAGGATTGCAAGTTCTCAACCAGCCTCAGTAACTTATAGCATCCCTAAGCAACTCAGCAAGAACCTGTCTAAATAAAATATAAAAATGGACTTAGGATGTGTCTTAGTGGTTGTGACCCTGGGTTTAATCCCTGGTATCAAAAAAATAAAATGTGTCTGGAATCTGGCTTAAAATGTTTTATAAGACTCTGGCTTTGGGCGAGTTTGACACCCCCAGAGTTGGGAGAACTCAGCCTCTCATTGGCTCTTTCATGAACAAGGTGGGTGTGGAAGGAAGCAGACATGCTCTTTGTGTAGCATTCTTCTAGACTTTGCCAGAGAATATCTCATTTGATGCTTCCAAAAAATTGGATGTGGTGGGGGCTTTTTTCTGTCCCCGCAACCTGCTCTCACTTTACCTGTGTGGTACTTGGTGATTAGAGATGTCATCCTTGTTAGGGATAACCAAAGGAAACTCACTCCCAGGGGTAAGGATAGGATGCTATGGTCTTCTGGCATAGCAGTTTGGATTAACCTTGGGGGAAGGATTTATGGGTGTGGCAACCTGACTTGTTTGTACCTGATGTTAGCTGTAATAGGAAGGGTCTGAGGTTAGGCAGATGGTGATCCAGCAAGTATTCAAAGTCCTTTTTTTGTTGGGGGTACCAGGGGTTGAACTCAAGGGCACTCGACCACTGAGCCCCATCCCCAGCCTTATTTTTATTTTACTTAGAGACAGGGTCTCACTGAGTTGCTCAACACCTTGCTATTGCCGAGGCTGGCTTTGAACTTATGATCCTCCTGCCTCAGCCTCCTTGGTTCCCAGGAGAGCCCAGGTGATTTTGGACTAGGACTTTGTAAAGTTGATATTTCATTTTTATACTGAATTCATCAAGACCCTAGAAAATGAATGTTTCCCATTTGGTAGTGTTAAACAGTATATTATCCCCTTCATTTTTGGCAGGGGCAGTGGGTATGGGGGATTGAACCCAGAGGTGCTTAACCACTGAGCATAACTCCAGCCCTTTTTTTTGGTGGTGGTGGGGTACCGGGGACTGAACTCGGGGGCACTTGACTACTGAGCCACATCCCCAGCCCTATTTTGTATTTTATTTAGAGACAGGGTCTCACTGAGTTGCTTAGTGCCTTGCCATTGCTGAGGCTGACTTTGAACTCATGATCCTCCTATCTCAACCTCCCGAGCCATTGGGATTACAGGCATGTGCCACCGCCCCTAGCAACTCCAGCCCTTTTTAATATTTTATTTAGAGACAGGGTCTCGCTGAGTTGCTTAGGGTCTTGCTGAATTGCTGAGGCTGGCTTTGAACTCGCAGTCCTCCTGCATCAACCTCTGGAGGCACTGGGATTACAGATGTGTGCCACTGTGCCCAACAGATCCCCTTCATTTTAAAGAAATTGTTGGCAAAGATGAGAGTAGAAGGTTTAATTTTCTCTTGTATGGATTTTTTTTTCCTTTTTCAAAATTGTAATTATTAATGAACATTACACAAGTTAATTAATTTCAGTGTGTTACTTCCATATATCAGGCTTTAATAATATTTACCCTCTTTCTTGCCCTCCTCTCTCTTTCTTTCCCCATTCTCCCATTTCTACTGTTTCTCCTTACCCTTCCCTGACCCTGATGGTTCCTCTTCTACTTTCATCCATTTTCCTGCAAATGATAGGATTTTATTCTTCTTTATGGCTGAATAATACTCCATTGTGTATATGTACCATTTTTTTAATTCATTCATCTGTTAATGGGCACATAGATGATTCTATATCTTAGCTATTGTGAATGGTGCCGTAATAAACATGGGTATGCATTTCCTCTTTTGAATGCTGATATCATTTTCTTGAGATGTATACCCAGGAGTGGTATAGCTGGGTCATATGATAGTTCTAATTTTAATTTGCCCCCTCTCCCACAATAGTGGGAATTGAACCCAGGAGTACTCTACCACTGAGCTATATCCCTAACCCTTTTTATTTTATTGTGATATAGGGTCTTGCTAAGTTGCCAGTCTGGACTCAAAACTTTTGATCCTGCTGTCTCAGCCATCATACCCTGCTCTATTCCATCTTGTATAAATTTTTATTTATAAAATAAAATTTTATTTTATAAATTTTATTTATAAAATTTTATTCATAAAATCTCATTAAAGGACTAAGGATGCAGCCCAATGGTAGATCACTTGCCTAGCATGTGCAAAGCCCTGGGTTAGATCCCTAGCACTTAAAACAAAAGAGCAGGGCTGGGGATGTGGCTCAAGCGGTAGCGCGCTTGCCTGGCATGCCTGCGGCCCGGGTGCAATCCTCAGCACCACATACAAACAAAGATGTTGTGTCTGCCGAAAACTAAAAAAATAAATATTAAAAATTCTCTCTCTCTCTCTCTCTTAAAAAAAAAAAAAAAAGAGCAGCAACAAAATCAAAACCTTTTTTAGTCATCTTAGTACAATTTACTCTTGCCTGCTGGAAAAGATTGTTTGTTTCAGGTGAGTTCTAAATCAGACAGAGTAAATCAATAAACCTCAGTGAAGAGAGGAAGACATATCTGGTATTTCTGGTTCTTAACCTGGCATGGCAGTGAACAAGGCCACTGGGCTCTATGTTGTAAGTGCTTGTTATATAGTTAGGCTGTCCAAACCCAGCAAGGGCTAGAGCACTCCTCTTTTGTATTAGGACAGCCCCTGAGGGAGGCCCTGTGCTCCCTGGGGAGGTCAGACATCTCACCTTGGGTCTCATAACTGATTGACAGGTACACCAGGATTCATGTTCACATGCTAAATACTTCCAAGTAAATCCTTTACCAGTGAGACTCAATCTGAGTCCCCAGATCAGGCCTCTTCAGAAAATGGTAGAGATAGAATCAGGAGGACACAATTTTAGGTGAGTGAGGAGGTATCAGGTAGTGACTCATTCAGAGACTTTGAGCCAAGTCAGAGAGTGGTGGGAGAACTGATGATATATCTCCCTTGAGCTTTGATCCTTCTTCCTAAAAAGGTAATTGTCTTGTGAAATAGTTCTGTCCTGCAAACATTTTAGGCGGGAGTTACTGATAAGGACTGATCTTAAGACATTGTTTCAGGCTTCAGCAAGAGAACTGTTTCTGAATGTTTATTTGAGGTTAATTTTACCTTTGGAACAGAAATCCCAGGATGGATTTGAGATTTAGTTTTTCCTGAATCTCCATAGGCCAAGAGTTAAGAGGCAGGGAAGAAAAGATGGTGGAAACTGAGTTTTGAACTCATTAGAAAACCTGTCCTAGGCTTGGCTTCCAGCAGTTTGGGGAGGCTGAGGTGGGAGGATCTCAAGTTCAAAGCCAGTCTCAGTAAAAAATGAGGCCCAAAGCAACTCACTCTGTCTCTAAATAAAATACGAAATGGGGCTTGGAATGTGGCTCAGTGGTTAAGCACCCGTGCATTTTCAACCCCCTGGACCAAAAAGAAAAGCAACCTGCCCTAGGAAAGCATGAGCTGGGAAGCCTCTGTCAGTTGGTGGCAAGTTCATAGAGTCAGGATCAGCTCCTTCTGGGACTTCTTAGTGGGTAGAGAGGATAACACAGTTAAGGAATGAGTGGTAATTTTTGTGTAGAAAGTAGAATATTCATGGGGTGGGTTCTGTTCCAATAGTACCTTCTTGATTTGACCTGCCCTCTTGTCAGTTCTTGGGAATGTTTGTATTCTTTGACTTTGCTTATTTCGTATTTGTTAACTGAACTAAACAGCTGTGAGCACGCCTGGCTGGGAAGTTGGTAAGGAGGGAAGCTAACGCTGTGTAGGCTCTATAAGTCAGTAGATGAAGGTGATTGGAAAGGGTGTAACATCAGTGCCAAGGTCTCACTCCCTCAGAGAGTCAAGGCATTTCTTGGTCTAGGTACTTCTCTCAGCAGGCAGCTCCAGAAAGAAGGTTGGGGACTGAGGCTAAAACATCAGTGCTCTCAAGAGGGTCAGGCTAGATGTGCTACCTCAGCACCATCCTGTCCCCCCTCCTTTCTTTGAGACCCTCTGCTTTTCTTCTGTGTTCATTGCTGAGTTTTGTCTTTTTCTCCCATATGCTTCTCTTCTAAGGCAGTCAGCAAACTGGCGCAGAGGTTGGTAAGACAGCTGGCAGCATCAGGAATATGAGCCTCTTGGTACCCAGCTGCCATGTGTTACCAGCAGTTGTGGTTGTTAAAGGTCCCAGTTGGAGCATGAAATTAGGCAGGCATTATCTGCCCTCTTCATCTGACCCTGTATCTCCTGAGAGAATTGTCTTCTTTCCCTGTCCTGGGTCTTTTCTGCATTTCTGGGGTTTTGACTTTGATTTGAACAGACAAGCCTCCTTTATACTTAATGTCTTTGTCCTTGGCCCAACACAGATTTTCCTTCTGCCTTCGCCTCCCTGATCCTTCTCTTTGCCCATTCTGTGACTTACCTCTGACTGATCTGCCCAATTTGCTGGCCAGCATGTTGGCAGTAATTCATTACCCTGCCACCCACTCACCCCTCTACCACCTTCCTGCTTTTCTGATTCCCCAACAGGGTCTTTCTTTTTCAGTTATTTCTCACTTTAGTATAAGAGGTGGTTAAGCATGGAATGTGGAATTAGACTGCCAGGATTTGAATCTTGATTATTCTTCTAATCTCTTATGTAACCTGGAGCTATGTGCTTTAACTTTTCTGCCTATCTAATCATACGTAATACCTAATTCAAAGGGTTGTTATGTGTGTCAAGTGTAATAATGTATATAATACAAGACAAATGAATATTAGCTATTGTTATTATTCTTGATGCCATCCTTGATACCTGCCTGCTTTATACCTTTTGGATGAAACCTTAACAGGACAGAACTGAGCAGGCTAAGGGGGCTTCTAACGAGATCCCTGAAGGTATTCCCCCAGGAGTTTGGGCTCACTGGAAAGACTAGTGAGAAAAGCTCAAAGAGGAAAGGAAACAACGACTCTCACAGAAAAAACTGTCCTACCATCCCTGCCCCTGGGGTGGGGATATTGAAGGACCATTCTTCTTTCAATACTTGACAAAAGCAAAGGGTATCCAGAAAGAAGAAGATAGACATTTAGTAAGAAAATTCAGTTTGGGTTTTGTTGTTTCTCTGGAGCCCTGATCCCTTAGTGCTTTCTTTGTGGCATCTGTCTGGGTCATATCGGGTCTAAAAACCTCTGGTTGCTTTATGGCTCATTCAACTAAACCCATTCTGCAATGACCTTTTACTGGCAGATGAAAAGCAGATGGCCTCCACCTGGTTTAGCTCAGCTTGTGGCATCAAACAGTAGGATACTTCCTGAGAAGGGAGGAAGGGGGAAAGGGATAGGACTAGGAGCTTTGTCCAGCAGGCTTTCCAGTCTTATTAGAAAATTGCTCGGTGCTTTCCCCCCACCCTGTGTGACAGACCAAGGGGTAGATATGGGATAAAGGAGCCCTGTGGAAGGAAAATATCCAGAATGGAAAGTGTTTCATCGCTACTTGGTGTCTCACTGGTGTTAAGTTTAAGAGACTAGAGGGCAAGAGGTGCACTGTGAGTGGGCTTAGGAACCTTTTCCTCAACTTACTAATTGCTCACAAACTTTGCTTTTTGCAGTGTTACCGAGACTTGGCTCTGGTGAGTCGTGATGGCATGAATATTGTCCTGAATAAAATCAACCAAATACTTATGGAGAAGTACCTAAAGTTGCAGGATACGTGCCGAACTCAGGTAAGAATAGGAAGAAAAGAAGGATCCAGGGATTGGGAGCGTTATCTCAGTGGTAAAGTGTGTGCCTAGTATGCACAAGGCCCTGGGTTCTGTCCCTAACATCAAAAAAAAAAAAAAAAAAAGAAAAGAAAAGAATAAGAAGGGATCCAGCTCAAAGACATTAACCGTGGGGGGGGGGGATCCCTTACAGAGAAGGGAAGGAGGAATTGAGGCAACATACCCCTATCATTGTGTACCTAATTTGTAATATGGTTAAGTTAGCTCCTTTCTCAAACTCACAGTTCATGCTCTTCATATTTTCTCCTCTCTCTAGTTGGTGTGGTTGGTACGGGAACTAGTGAAGAGTGGGGTTCTGGGAGCTGATGGTGTTTGCATGACATTTATGAAGCAGATTGCAGGTGAGTTGAAAGTCAAGAGCATAAAGAAGAAAGAGAGCGCTGGGGTTGTGGCTCAGTGGTGGAGCGCTTGCCTCCCACTGTGAGGCATGGGGATCGATCCTCTACACCACATAAAAATAAATACATAAATAAAGGTATTGCATCCATCTACAACTAAAAATATTTAAGAAGAAAGGAGAGGAGCCCAGAGACTAAGGCTAGGCAATAAAGACTGATTAAGCACCCATGGAACCTGATTCCTGGGTTACTTAGGCTCTTTCTTTCTGATACAGACATCTGGCTTCATGTGTTTCAGGAAGAAATTGGTTGAAAAATCACAGGAGCCCTTTTGAAGCAATAAGTTTTGCTTTGTTTTCTTTCCTGTCAAATCTAAAGCCTAGCAGAATATTTGACCTATTTTAGCCAGGCTTCATTCTGGGTTTTTGTGGCATATTGAATCAGGAAGGAATGAGGAGAAAATTAAGGGGAAATAATTCATCCCTGTATTATTATGCTTTCAGAAATCTAGACATCTTCCCTGGCTCCACCCCTGTGTTCTGAACAATTGCTCCCTAATAATTATGACAACTGATTGGGACCAGTCTGAGGGACAAAGGATGTTACAGAACAGACCCTGACATTTAGGTTTTATTATCATCTTGGCATTGGTGACATCTGTCTGAGCCAATGAATATGGAAGAGGCCTGCCTGAGCTTCCTCTTTTACTCTCAAGATTGTGTGTGTGTTTAAAAAACTACCCTCCTGTTTTACCTCATTATTTGCCCATTGCTGCTTGGCTTTCTCTTTAGGATTTTATATAACACTGATGCCCCTGTTTGGTGTGTTTGAACCGTTGTCTGTGTGATATGTGACTATGTGAACATCGAAATGTTTAATTGGAACTTAGTGCAAGGTATAGCAGTGTTGTGCTGGTTATTTTTATCCTTTCTCCAGCACTTTCTTCCCTATTTGGGCCTCCTAGCTCCCACTTCTTATCCCAAGACTTTGGTCTGGCATTGCTGCATATTAATTCTGCCCCAGGAAGTTCCATAGCAAGAACTGAAGACTGATACCTGGAAACAAGAAACCCTTGGCTTGTTGTGAGCTTGAGCACAGGGAACATCCAGATGCTGGATTGCAGCTGTTGCCAGCCGCCCGCACCTCTCAGGCCCTTTTTGAGACATCATCCTTTCTTTCCAACCATGGGATTCCTTTTCAAGGGCCAGCGTGTTCCCACTCAAGTTTCCAGTCTGGAAAAGCAACAGCTCTGGTTTCTAGAAAAATTCAGAACAGGGGCTGGGGTTGTGGCTCAGTGGTAGAGCGCTTGCCTAGCATGCATGAGGCACTGGGTTCGATCCTCAGCACCACATAAAAATAAAATAATGTGTCCACCTAAAACTAAAAAAATACATAAATAAATAAATATTAAAAAGAAAAGAAAAGAAAAATTCAGAACATTCCCTTCTCTTCTTCTCTCTGGAGGCAAAGGGAATTTTTTAAAAATCGGATGGAAAAGAAGACAATTTATCCTAACACTCAGGATAACAGTGATGGGATAACAGGGTAGACCAGCAAGATGAGTGAAGAGATGGATTAGCTAAGTTGCTAATTAGAGCTACTGTATTCTGATTCTTCCCCCCCTACTTTTTTTTTTTTTTTTTCATCAGGTGGAGATGTTACAGCCAAAAATATCTGGTTGGCAGAAAGTGTTCTGGATATCCTCACGGAGCAGAGGTAGAGTCCATCATGAAGGGTGGGGCAAGAACCAGATATGACCAGAAAGCATATGAGTGTGGGAAGTGGAGAAGAGAGGACTGTGTGACCCTAAAACACCTTAGGTTAGAGAGGAGGAAGCCAGCATCAAGTGGGGGAGGCGACCATATTGATGGCAAGTAAAGAAATTAATGCTGTAGTGTGGCCCAAGGGATAAAGGAGTGGGAAAGAAGGGCCTGTTTTCTGAGCCCAGGAAAAACCAGTTTCATCTGATAAGGGTTTATTTTTGATCCAGACCTCCTTGGAATGTTTATCTTTGGAGGGGAGGTAGGGGAAGAATGAGCTCAACAGAGCGGGACCAGCCAGCCACCCAGGCTTGGCAGGTACCTCTTCTCCCTTCCAAACTTCTCAAACACACTGTTTTTGAAGTGGTTCGGATGGCAGCAGGGGTAGGGAGGTAATAGAGATCCTGATCCCCCATAGAGGGCTTGGAGCCTCCAGTGGTAGAGAGAGGCATATAGGGCTTTCTGGCTGATTCTTTCCCTTCCTCATCAAACTGAAGGACCAGAAATTTTATGAGGACTATTCCATTTCTGAATTTGTTTGGGAATGAGGTCTTCCTCCTTGGTCCTGTGGCCCCAGTCTTCATTTTGCTTATTTTTTGAGTCTCTCTGGATAAGAACACCATAGTAGTAAGATTCTTGAGAGTGCTGATAGTGTTCATATTGTCCACATTTTCAAAGAATGGACCTCCTCCCATGATTCACACTTGTGCTGCCTACTGCCAAGCCTGAGAGCCACGCAGGCCAGCTGTGCAGTGCCACCTAGTGCCCTGGCACAGATGTGCAGCTGCACTGAATCTGGCAACATGACACCAGCATGGGCAAGATCTTAACAGTTTCTTGCCAGGTTTCTGCTTCTCTTAGGTATCATATTTCTTTTTTTGGGGGGGGCGGGGGGCCGGGGATTACCAGGAATTGAACTCTGGGGCATGCTACCACTGAGCCACATCTCCAGCCCTATTTTGTATTTTATTTAGAGACAGGGTCTCACTGAGTTGCTTAGCGCCTTGTCATTGCTGAGACTGGCTTTGAACTCACGATCCTCCTATCTCAGCTTCTGGTGCTGCTGGGATTACAGGTGTGTGCCACTGCACCCAGCAAACATCAGTATTTATTTAATGTCCTGGATTAGAAGGCCTCACTTGCATCCCTCTTTCTCTTTCTTATGCCATTCTACAATTCAGATATGTTTGTCATTCCTGTTAATAATGTTCTTGAAAAGCTATTTTTCTCATTTTATTCCTGGTTCCAGATGTATCCTGTCCCCTTGCCTTAAAGCTGAATTTCCCATATAGGTGTCAAATAACAGCTTGGTAACTTTCCCTACTCTCCAGAAACTCACATTTTTTGGTAAAAGATAGTACTTCAAAGTTTAAACTGTCTTCCTCCATACCTTCCTTCTCACACCCTTCCAAATGTTTTCAGGCTGTAGGGGTAAAAGGTAACTGGGAGCAGGGCTCATGTCCTTGGCTAGTGTTTTCTTTCTTTCTTTCTTTTTTTTTTTTCTTGAAAGGAAAATGCCAGTTTCTTTTAATTAGGTGACTTGAGCACATTTCCAGAATCAGGATGTTGCCTGGTTGGATTAATTAAACTCACTGTCGTCTTCCTCCAGTTGGCCTTCCAGCAGGGATGCCAAAGCCATTACAAACTCTTTGCTTGGCGGATACTACTCCACAGAAGTAGCACAAGAAACAGCATTGGGGATTTTAGGAATCTTCCCACTGTGTTTTTCTCTCTACCCCTTTTAAAGCAGCAGGGAACAAGTAATTCTTTCATTACTCTGTTTTCCCCAGGGAAATTCTAAAACTCCTGGGAAAATGAGCTTTGCCATCCAGAATCAGGTTCTTTTTTCAGATTATGATTTAGAGCAGGTGACTCATTGTCTGAGGGTGGGGTCAGCAGCTAGTGAGTCAGGGAAAGGTTTGTGGTGTGGTAAACTGTTAGTGACAAGTGTGACAGAAGGGCTAGCATGGTGTGTTCTGAGAACTCCTGGTCCTGAAAAGGGTCTTGGAAATCCCCAGAGATCCTGGCACCACACTTAAGAACTATTGACTTAACAGAACTTTCCCCACAGATGAACTGGGAGAAACGGTTCATCTCTGACCCTAGTACCTCACACATTGCTTGGCACATGATAGGCACTCAGTAAATGTTTGAATAGGTGAGTCAATGTACAAAGTTATTTTATTGGAAGCTACATAAGTGGTTACATGGTAAGAAAAGATTTTTTTTCCTTTTGGCATCTATTTTTATTGGTTGCCAAATAGAGAAAATTAGGAAGTTGTCCTTCTCTTAGCTAGTTGATAGTTTTGAGATAACAGCCTAAGCAAGCAAGCAGAAAAACAAAGAACCTCCTCCCAGTGTGTGAGCATCAAACATTATTGAGTTGCTGGAGCCGAGTTTAAGCGGGTGATTGGGAGTGTGCGTAGGTCTACGACAGAGTACAGGTGCAGTGTCTTTCCCTCCTGCAGGGAGTGGGTACTGAAGAGCAGCATCCTCATTGCCATGGCTGTTTACACATATCTCCGTCTCATCGTTGACCACCATGGGACTGCCCAGCTCCAGGCCCTGCGGCAGAAGGAGGTGGACTTCTGCATCTCGCTGCTTCGGGAACGGGTGAGGAAGTAGGATAAGATCAGTATGGGGAAATGAGACCCAGGATGGGATGCCCCTATAGGTTTCATGCACCAGGACTGGAGATGCCTTTTCAGATGTGGAAGTGGTTTAAAATCTAGCATTTTTCATTGTCCTTAGATAAGAGTAGAATCTAAGGAGGGAGAATCAGTGTGGAATAACCCTTGTTCCTAGAAATGCTAGCATCCTGGGGATTTTCCTGGTCACTGTCAAGGACACTGTTGTACAACAGACCCAAGCTGTTCTTTTGTATACCCACTTAAGCTGTTCTGTCATCCTACCACCTACCCAAGTAATTGCCATGGTCATGTGGGATTATGAATTGTCTGCTATCAGATCTCCCAAGAGAGAGATCCTAGAATTAAGTTAATATAATGGCTGTTGACTACATTTGGTAATTTATTAATTAATGTCAGATTTTAAAGTTCCTTAATTACGTTAGCCACATGTTGCTAATGGTATTGTTTGGAATGCATAAATGTAGATCATTTCCATTACCACAAGAGGTTCTGTTGTACAAGAATTTTGGGGTAGGGTGTCTGGGGCTCCACTTGCCTGTCCAATAGTTTTGGAATCTTAGTCTCTTTGAACTAAATCAGAACAGTTCTGGGTGGAGAAGGGAATAGATTAGTGTGAAAGTCAGCAGGGCTTCAGCACTTCCCAGTAACTTTTCTTCCTTGGTATCAGTCCCTAGCTTCCAGCTCTCTTCCATAAACAGCTAGGAACCAATCCCTTGGTTCTAGAAGAAATCACATAGTCCCTTCAACCTTCTTTCCTTCCCTCCCTGGAACATGCTGTTCTTTTGTCCTCTCTCCAGAAGGTAAACAGTCTGTGTTTTTATTCTCTTTCCTGTCCCCACTTCCTTCACCTCCTCACATCAAGTTCATGGAATGTTTGATGATTGGCCGGGACCTTGTAAGACTACTTCAGAATGTTGCTAGGATACCAGAATTTGAACTGCTTTGGAAAGATATTATCCATAACCCTCAGGCCTTGAGTCCTCAATTTACAGGTAAGTAAGCCCTTGGGCATCTTGTCCTTGAGAGATGGCAAGTTAGCCTATATGTCCTATATTCAGAGGGCAGAGGTTGGTGGGTAGGACTGCCTTTGGCAATCAGAGAAGGTTTGGGGCAGGGCAAGCTTTGCCAAGTACAGCTAGATATTGGAACCGCAGAAGTACTGAACAATTCATGTGATTCCTAGACAGTCCCTGCTTGGCAGACTCCAGCTATCATTACTCCTAAGAAAATAGTGAGAACTATGATCTTCTTCCTCTCCTGGAAGCTCCTTGGCTCAGGAGGTGAGCTGATGACCAGTCTTTGACTTCAATGAGTCTGGCAGGGAGTCAGAGGTCAACTCCATGAGACTGAGTCAGCAGAGGAGCTAGAATTAGTCCTGTAAGAGATGGCCCCTCCCTGGAAGCAGTCTGGCCTCTTAATTCCAAGGATCCAACTTGGCCTAAATCATCTTTAGGGGAGAGAGTCTCTGTGTTCTTTCCCCTGACATGGTCCTTTCAATGTCCCTTTCCCTTTCCCAGAGCAATAACTCTACAGCTTTGCTCCCTGGCCCACCTTTAAAGCACATTCATACATATGCACGCACACCTACAGAGCACTCTTCTAGAATCTGAGAAGTGGGGAAAGTGCTGGTGCTACCTGATAATGCACTATTCTTACATCAAACATGTCAGGTTACTTTGAGTGTCACCTCTATGTTAGGCATATGTATGTAATTTAAACCTTAGAACAGCTCTAGATTATGGGTATTTTATTTCCCTTACAGTTGAAGAAACTGAGGTTCAAAAAAAGAAACGGAGCTGGACATGGTAGCACACACCTATAATCCCAATGACTCAGAAGGCTGAAGTAGGAGTATTGAAAGTTCGAGGCCAGCCTGGGCAACCTAGCAAGACCCTGTCTCAAAAATAAAAGGGCTTGGGCTGGGGATATAGCTCAGTTGGTACAGTGCTTATCTCAGTTGGCCAGTGCATGCACAAGGCCCTGGGTTCAATCTCTAACACCACAAAAAATAAAAATGATAGATAGATAGATAGATAGATAGATAGATAGATAGGCTGGGGATGTGACTCAGTGGTAGAGCACCCTTAGGTTCTCTACCCCAGTATCACCCCCTAAAAAAAAGAGAGAAAATAAAAGAAACTGAGGTTCAAACAGGTTAATTTGCTCAAGTGTAAGTGACAGGCAGGATTTGGATCAGGTTATCCTGACTCCAGAGCTTATGGTTATGCTGCCACATCACATCCATGCAAGGATCAGGAGCAGGAAGACAAGCTAGAGTTTCCATATTTTTCTCTTAATTTTCCCACCTGTTGCCAACTGCAATAATGGGGGTAGGGGACTCTGTAAAACCAGCAGAGGAAGGGAATTAATGTAACAGGAATGTAGTTGGTTGGACAAAACGCACAGATGCTAGTTAGAATCCCCATCTGTGTTGATGCTTGGAATTGCCTCATGAACAAGACCACTGGCCATCAGTACCTGGCCCAGTTTTCCCATCTGTCTGCCATTCCGTAGTTCTCAGGTTTCTCTCTTTTTTCTTCCCTAAAACACTTGGCTCAGGTATCCTACAGCTTCTTCAGTCAAGAACATCCCGAAAATTCCTAGCATGTCGTCTAACCCCAGATATGGAAACTAAGCTCCTCTTCATGACATCCCGGGTGAGCTCACCTATTGCAACAGGAAGAGGAATTGCAGGTGCTAGTTGGGCTTCTTGCTTCTGTCTGCAGATCTGTTACTCTGAGTACTGATCCACAGAGTGGTAGCTAAGTGGTAGCCCTTATCCACATGGCTACTGGCTTCTTTCCTTTGTTAATTCTGTGCCTATACACTGTGCTCAGTGCTAAGAATTGGAGATAAGGGTTGAATAAGAGAGATGCAGTTCTAGCTCTGTGAAGCTTTCAGTCTATCTAAAGTAGCCATTATGCAGAGAATTATATGCAAGTGTGAACTGTGCTGTTAAAGTTTAGAGTGAGAATGTTTATTCTGTCCATGGTTCTTCCAGGGAAACTGTGAGCTTTCAAGGTAGCTATGACCTTTTAGTGTCCAAATATGGCTGAACGGTGGTAAAACTGCTTGAGGAACATGTTATAGATGGAATCTGATCAAATAAAGAACCACTGCCCTAGCCAACTTTTGGATCCCCAAGTTATCTAGGAGAACTGTCCAGACCTTTGGTGTCCTTTGTAATAGCCACTAGCCATATTTTGCAATTTAAATATAAGTTAGTTAAAATTTAGTATCTTGTTTGCAGAAGCTACATCTGAACTGCTCATGGCTACCATCATTGCAGGAAGTTTTGTTGTGAAGTGTGGTCTGAGTGTAACTTTTTGTTTACCTTTCTGCCATTTGGATTTCTTCTGACAGGGGAATAGAGGAGGAAAACAGATCCTCCTTTTTTGCTATTTATAACCATTTGGGTCTATTTAGAAGTTTTAGAGGGCTGGGGATGTGGCTCAAGCGGTAGCGCGCTCGCCTGGCATGCGTGCGGCCTGGGTTTGATCCTCAGCACCACATACAAACAAAGATGTTGTGTCCACCGATAACTAAAAAAAAAAAAAAAAACACTATCGTGATTCCCTGAAGAAAAAAAAAAGAAGTTTTAGAGTCTGTGCCTTGGATAATGGTCCTGTTAGGTTGCTGGATGGCAGGAAGCACTCAGTGCTGAATGGTGAACAGGTTTAGTTCTTGCTTTCAAGGAACATTCCTTGTTGTCCAGTAGGCTCCAGAAAATAAGAAAAGATTATACTTAGGACCAAATCTTCAGTGACCAGTGTTGGAGCAAGGAGCCAAAAATAGACCACAATTGTTGGGGGTAAATGTGGCATCAGGTCAGGGCTGAGAATGAATGCACCCATGACATGCAAGGCAGCCTAGAAAGACTTAGAGTACTTTTTAAAATCATGAAATAACCCCAAAAGGAAAAGACACTCAAGAGACAGTGTGAGCTAATGAGTAAGTTGTAGGAAGAAATGAAGGTCTAGGTCAAACATGGAGTTTAACAGTTCTCATAGATTCCACCCTGCTTTCCAAGTTTCTTTTTCTAACTTTTCCCTCCTCAGGTGCGGTTTGGTCAACAAAAGAGATACCAAGACTGGTTCCAGCGCCAGTATTTGTCAACCCCAGACAGTCAGTCTCTACGCTGTGACCTCATTCGCTACATCTGTGGGGTAGTCCACCCTTCTAATGAAGTGCTGAGTTCTGACATCTTGCCTCGATGGGCCATCATTGGTTGGCTCCTGACAACATGCACGGTAGGGGGCTGGGCCACAGGGTAGAGGATGTTGGACAGTGAAGGATGCCTTCTGTATTTCCATGCTTCTTGCTGGACTCTCCAGGGCCATTTGATCCATAAGGACCCTTCTTTCACTGTTGTCTTTCAAATGTTTCAGGCTCTTATTCCATTACCTTTGTGTCTCAAGAAATTTTGTTAGACTCATTATTTCTCATCTGGGTTGGGGATTCAATAGGTCCATCTATCTCTTTATTACTAACCCCCAAAATCCTGGATTTCTGAAGCATTCTTGCCTTTTTCCTTTGAGCTTCTGGATACCACAAAGTTAGGGCTTGCATTCTTTATACCCTCACCTCCGTGCTTCTGGCATCAGCTTCGGATAAAGGAGCCATTTCCTTCCCAGCATTTTCCTTCCTGTGTTGAGATGGAAAACCATCCATTCTCTGACATCTTCTGACAGGGTTTCCCCTTTCTTCTCTGATTAGATTCTTAGAATGTACTGATTCAAATATGACAAAAGACTATTCCTAGAGGGCCTTTTCTTCAGAAATGTGGGTGGGGGAGCCCACCAAGGGCAGCCCAGGGGCCATCTGAGTATTGCCTTGACTCAGAAGTAATGAGTGAACTCCTAAGTCCAAGTGTTGTCCCTTAGGGGAGGAGAGGTATATCCTCCTGGGTGTGTGAGGATCCCAGCCAGTCCCATCCCCTTGGTTGGTAAGACCACAGGGTTCTCGTGCTCACATGTAACACAGACGCAGATCGTGGGGCTCCACCACGTTTCACTGGGACCTGAATTTCACAGGTGCAGCAACAAAGTAAGCCCTGGAATCTGCCCTGGGCTTCAGAAGGGAAGGGAGACGGTTGATGAAATTAGCCCTTTATTTTTGTCCTTCTCTTTTCCAGTCCAATGTTGCTGCCTCTAATGCCAAGCTGGCTTTGTTTTACGACTGGCTGTTCTTTAGTCCAGACAAGGATAGCATTATGAACATAGGTATGTGCCCCAGACCAGGCAGCACCACCTTCCCCTTCCTCAGGCCCCACTGCCTCGTCCTGGTGACAGCAGTCATAAATCTGAGGGCAGCACGGAGTGGGAGCAGTTTATCTGGGAGCAGTTCCGTTGTTCCTCATCAGTTCTTCCTTGACAGAAAATTGCTTTGGTGAGGCTAAGCAATCACCACCCTCTCCCTTCTCCCCATAGCCTCATCCCTGGGCTCTGGGTGGGAAGGGCCTGGGCAGAGGAAAAGATGTGCCATGTCCTGCTTTTCCTTTCCTCCTACCTCCATTCTTCAAGCTGTATGCTGAAGACAAGAAGGAAGAATGAGGGCTAAGAACAGTTGGGGGACTGGTTGCTCTCAGAGCTGCCCGATAGGAATGAGCACTCCCCAGAGCCTTTTAGTATATGTTGACATCCCATTTTGTGGATGTGGAAACAGAAAGTCTGATGTGGGGGGGGGGGGGAAATCCTTTAATTCCACATTCTCTAGAGCCAGCCATCCTGGTAATGCATCATTCTATGAAGCCCCATCCAGCCATCACTGCCACACTCCTGGACTTCATGTGCCGTGTAAGTGCCAGAGCCCCCTCTCCTCCCAGTTCCTGGATGCAGAGTTACATCTGTATCCATAGTCTTTCACTGATGGAGTCTTTCCTGGCCCCCTTGTCCGGAGCAGAAGTGGTCAACTCAGTGAATGCTTCCCTTCATATTACCACTGCTCCAGTTGGATCATCCCTTGTTTCCATGATTTTCTCAATTGTAGGATGACAACTCAAGGTAGAATCTAGTCTCCTTGAGAAGCAGCTGGGTCCAGTAAGTGTCCCAACTGCCTAGCCTGAAATAGTCAGATATGCTCCATTCCTCTGCAGACATACTACCCCAGTGTTCCCTGACCACAACCAAAGCAGTTTCTTAGATCTAGTTCAGCAGAACACTCTATTCAGAGTCCTGTGCCATTCTTCCCTCCTCTTCTTTCCTTCCAGATCATTCCCAACTTCTATCCACCTTTGGAAGGCCATGTGCGGCAGGGTGTCTTTTCTTCCCTCAACCACATTGTGGAGAAACGGGTCTTGGCGTAAGGAGTTTATATGTAGGGAGGTGGAGGTATGGGGTTCTCCCATTTTTCCTTAGGTCCAGCCCCCTCTGGGTCAGGCACATCCAGATATTGTCATAACACTGCTGACCCTTTCCCCTGGCAGGTATAACAAGTACTGGATTCCTCTCCCCCACCCCCAAACTACGGGGCATATGTCCTGTTGAGTCTCAAAGGAATTTCTCTCCTGCCATTATATTACAAAGGGCTTCAAATGCCTTCCTTTCCCGTTACCCCTTGGAAGGATCTGAGGATGTCCCAGTCTTACTGATTGGACCTAGGTCTCACTCTTTATCTCCATGTTGAGTTAGAAATGAGGAACTCTGATGTTGACCTTCATTTATGTTTCCCATTAGACACTTGGCTCCCCTGTTTGACAACCCTAAATTGGATAAAGAGCTGCGGGCCATGCTGAGAGAGAAATTTCCTGAATTCTGCAGCTCACCCTCCCCACCTGTGGAAGGTATGGTGGTAGTCCTGCTGTCATCTGTGTTAGAAGAAGGATGAAGCCATCCAAGGTGTAGACTAGAGCCCTGTTTGTGATGTTGTCCCTGGGGAGTTCTCCTCTTAACACTGTCTCAGTGTTCTCTTTTTATTATTGCTGTGTTGTCTCCCTTGGTTCTCTCTCGCTCCATCAAATCTTACTTGATTTTTCCCTCATCTGTCTTGATCTCTTAACCCTTTTTTTCTCTCCAGTAAGTAGAGGCCCTCATGGAATGTTTGTTGTCTCACTGTACCCATCCCTTCTCTCTTCCCATCCCTCCACCCTTGCCCCTGATGAGAGGTTGCACAGTAGGTCCCAGTCTGCCATTTCCCTGCCAGCCATCCCCCACATACTTTTTGTCTTGGGATCAGGGCTTAAGCCAAGCACTACTTCCAAATTTGGTTTTAAATTAAAGAGCACAAGAGATTGTCTCCACTCATCCTGAGCTAAGGATAGAAAATTCATGTCCTGTGTTGTTCCTTTTCCTGGCAGCATCTCCCTACAGGTCATAGAAGGTTGTAAGGACAAGAGATTTGTCCTTGCAGGTTCAGTGTTCCATTTAGCACATAAACTCTGTATTCTCCCACTTACACTCCAGCCTCCCCTTCCCAGAAGCTTGGGACATACTGGAGGCCATCAGATACCTTTCTCTCTTTACTCCCAAGTCAAAATTGAAGAGCCAGTTTCCATGGAGATGGATAACCATCTGTCAGATAAGGATGAGAGTTGCTACGACAATGCTGAGGCAGCCTTCAGTGATGACGAGGAGGATCTCAACAGCAAAGGTGAGGATGGCATAGGAGGTGGCTCAGGATTGTGACAGCCCTGGGAGGGTCATTTCCCAGGAGCAGCCTGTCTGCAGTCTTTCTGTCCTATCATCTCTGCCCGCCTGAGTCCGTCTTGGTAACAGCATCACTGAATGAGACTCAGGGTGTAAGCCCTGCATTTAACTTACGAGGTAAAATAAGTGGTTCCTGCCCACTTGTGGGTAAGAGCTAGGACATGTATACAATCATGTATTTGCACAGCATTGAGTAAACAGTCCCCAAGGACTGTGGGGAAGGAACAGATGATTTAAGGGGACTCTGTGTTGCTGGCATTTGAGCAAATTGACTTCTAAATCTCTCCCTTCAGGAAAGAAGAGAGAGTTTCGTTTCCACCCTATCAAGGAGACAGTTGTGGAGGAGCCAGTTGATATCACCCCTTACCTCGACCAGTTGGATGAGTCCCTAAGGGACAAAGTACTCCAGCTACAGAAGGGGAGGTAGGTACAGACCCTTCTCCTCACCTTGTGGGGGGATGTCCAGTCCATGCTTTCTCCCTTGTGCCTAGTATGTGTGGCAGAATGATGTGGCTTGGAGAGCAATGTGATGGGGTATATGGGAAGGTAGCTGAAGCTTCATGAGTGATGTCTTCCGCAGCTTATGTTGGGGAGTACGAGTACAGGCAGGGAGTGGATTGGCCTGTACTCTAACACCTTGGTTCCTACTCCCTAGGTTCTGAGGATAATAGCCTCAGAGAACACATGTAGGATGGATGGGGATTTCCCTATTCTTTGGGCCTCTGCCCAGAAAACAGCAAATTCTGCCCTAATTCTGCCTCCCTCACCCAAGCTGGGATTTTACATAGAGCTCCTTTGTTTTGTCTCTGTTCGTTTGAGTGCTCGTGTATAGTGTTCTCTGTGTCCTGCCTTCTGCTATCATTTATGTCCTTGGGATTTCCTCTCACTTCTGTACTGCAGTGATACAGAGGCCCAGTGTGAGGTCATGCAGGAAATTGTGGACCAGGTCCTGGAGGTGAGGAGGAACCTACGCCCTTAGGGAGGAAGGAGCCCAGCTGTCCAAGTTAGAGCTCCCCATGCAGGTGTCTCCCTGGGAATGTGACTCCCTCCTTCCTCTCCCCTAGAAGAGTCCCTCTCAGGGGGGCTGGAGAATTGCTGATCCTGTAGGTGGAAGCAGATAAGCTCAGAGGCTCTGGGGCAGTGGGGACAGTGGGCACAGTGAGGTTTGGACCTGGGTCATGATATCCTTTCCTTCCCTTATCTACCACCCAGGAAGACTTCGACTCAGAACAGCTGTCTGTCCTTGCTTCCTGTCTACAAGAGCTCTTCAAGGCCCACTTCCGAGGAGAGGTGCTGCCTGAGGAGGTCACAGAGGAGTAAGGCTCATCTTCCCTGATGCCCTTGGCCTCAGGAGCCAGAAATATGTTCTTACAACCCAAGCCCAAGAGGCACCATGCTGTAGACTTGAGAAGAAGAATCTGTTCACTTGGTTTTCTGATTCCTGATGTGTACTGATTGAAAATGAGGGTTTATTTTGCCTGCTGGACCCTGTGTGTACTGGAGTTGTAGACTAGTATCCCTGCCCTGTCCTTCCAGCCCTGCTGCTGGGCCAGTAGCCCCAACCTTTATTTCTTCAAGTAGAATTGGATCCTAGATTCCCCCTGAAGAGAGGAATCTCCCTTTCTGTGATAATGATAGCCTCAGACTGTGATTTCCAGGTTGGGAACTTGTTTTCTCTGCTATCAAGCTTCTGGAGCCACAGGAAGTTTGCCTTTTGGGTAGGATAGGAGCAGGCTGGTGTCTGGCCTCTGTGTGGTCCCCCTGTGATCTGCCTGCAGCTGCCCCTCCTCTTCTGTGGATTCTCATGTGTGACCCTTCTTTCGTAGGTCCCTGGAGGAATCTGTAGGGAAGCCTCTCTACCTGATATTTAGGTAAGCACCCAGTGGTAAGAGGAACTGCTCTCCCCTCCATTCTCCCTACAGCACACATTTGTCCCTGTCCTGGGTCACATGGCTCTGTTTCCAGAGAGGAGGAGGTTTGTAGTGGGCAGAGTCTCCCTGGGTAATGCCTCTCCTTTTCCCCCACCTCCAGGAACCTGTGCCAGATGCAGGAAGACAACAGCAGCTTCTCTCTGCTCCTGGACCTTCTGTCTGAGCTCTATCAGAAGCAGCCCAAGATTGGCTACCACCTGCTCTACTACCTGAGGGCCAGGTGGGTGTCGGGAAGCTACTGGAGAGCCAGCCTTTCTCCCCTGCACATCGATTCCCTTGGCTCTCTTCACCAGCACCTTCCATGCGTTTTGGTGCTAGGGATAAATCCAGGGCCTTGTGCATGCTAAGTGTTTGTTTTTTTAAATAACAGCTTTATTGAGGTATAAATTTTTGTACCATAAATTTACTTTTTTTTTTTTAATTTTTTTTTTTTTAGTTGTAGTTGACACAATACCTTTATTTTATTTATTTATTTTTATGTGGGGCTGAGGGTCGAACCCAGGGCCTCGCACATGCTAGGCAAGTGCTCTACCGCTGAGCCACAACCCCAGCCCCCAAAATTCACTCTTTTGAAGTGTACCATTCAGTGTTTTTTAGGGTACTCACAAAGTTATACAAATATCACTGCTGTGTAACTTAAAACACTTCATCACTCTTAAGGAAACCTCCTTATTCTCTCTCTCTCTTTTAAGATGGGTTCTTTGTTGCCTAGGTTAAGCTCATACTCTTGGATTCAAGAGATGCTCCTGCCTCAGCCTCCTAGGGAACTAGGACTATACACATATACTGCCATACTTAGTCTTTCTCGATTTTAACCCTGTTGTTTGTCTTTTTATTGCTGCCCTTTTTTCTCTTTCTTGTTTTTGGTACTGGGGATTGAACAGGCTCCACACATGCCAGGTAGGCAGTCTACCACTGAGCTACATCCACAGCCCTTTTTACTTTGAGGCTGGGTCTCTTTAAATTGTCCATCCTGAGCCAAACTTGGTGATCCTTCTGCCTCATCCTCCTGAGTAGCTGGGATTATAGGCACATAATATTCTAATAGTATGGATACAGGTTGTCTTATTTTTTTGGTGCTGGGGATTGAACCGAGGACCTCACGTGTGCTGAGCTCATGTTCTAGCACTAAGTTTCACCTGCCACCTTCCAAGCCTGTCTTTTCACTTTATATAATTTTTATATTTATTCATATATATATTTACTTATTTATTTATTTTAGTTGTAGACGGTCATAATACCTTCATTTTATTTATTTATTTTTATGTGGTGTTGAGGATCAAACCCAGTGCCTCACATGTGCTAATAAATAAGCAAGCGCTGTACCACTGAGTTACAACCTTAGCCCCTCTTTTCACTTCTTTGGTGATAACCCTTTTAAAACACCAAAGTGGCAGGGTGCAGTGGCACACTCCTGTAATCCCAGAAGCTCAGGAGGCTAAGGCAGGAGGATTTCAAGTTCAAAGCCAGCCTCAGCAACTTAGTGAGGCCCTAAATAACTTAGTGAGACTGTGTGTCAACATTAAAAGAACAGAGTGGGGAGAGCTAGAGATGTGGCTCAGTGGTTAAGCACCCCTGGGTTTAATCCCCAGTACCAAAAACAAACAAAAAACACGAAAGTATTAAATTTTTGTGAAGTCAAATCTGTTTTTCCTTTTGTCACTTGTTTTTGGTATTATGAAGACTTGCTCCTGTTTTCTTCTAAGTGTTGTGTGGTTTTTGTTCTTATAGTTAAGCCTATTAGCCATTTGAGTGAAGTTTTGTGTATGGTATGAGTTGGTACTGTCCTCATGGATAGAACCCAGAAGGAAGAGAGCTGTCTCTAACCTGACCCTAGTCCTCCCTCTCCTGTCACTCTGGCAGTGAGTAGCTTCATTGATCTCAGAGCCCTGTGTGGGTACTGGGAAGAGATGGGGAAGCAAGAGTGTCTCCTGATTCTTAGGTTGTCAAGCCCTTGGGAAAGGCAGGAAGGAATAAATAAATAAAAGGGGACAAATGAGCACAGGGCATGTAGGAGAGACGAAGGCATTCCAGGGTAGGAGCAGACTGCTTCAGAACATCTCAAATTCTGGTGCTGTGGTCCGGCTACTGACTTGGGCCCAATTGGTTTTGCAGCAAAGCTGCCGCTGGGAAGATGAACTTGTATGAGTCATTTGCCCAGGCCACCCAGCTGGGTGACCTGCACACCTGCCTAATGATGGACATGAAGGCCTGCCAGGAGGACGATGTGCGGCTGCTATGCCATCTCACACCCTCCATCTACACAGAGGTCAGTGTGTCCATCCTTATCCATGGTCGTGGGTAGTACAGGGGGCTCACAAGTGACCACCTACCTTGGTGTACACTCTGAACACCACATACAACCCCTTCTGACCTCAGTGGCCACTGCTTCTCACAGTTTAATTCTCTTCATTCCAGTGCTTTCTGTTAAAAGTTGAATAGTTTTTGAGGCTCCGAGAATTCTTGTCCTTTGGTTTTAACTGTGGTTTAAGTTGGGGTGTGGACCCATATACTTGGCTTCCCGGTTTCAGCCCCATCATCTGGGCCTAGAACAGGTCCCCCAGTCAGATGCATATTGGTATGTCCCAAGCTCTCACCCTGTGATGGCTCACTCTTGGATGCTCTCTAATGGTTCCTGAAGACCAGAGCTCCTGAAGCAGAGATTCACTTTCATTTCCCCCAGTTCATTCACGTCTTCTCTCAGAATTGGGATGGAGGAGGAGGTATCAACTCTTGTTCCTCTTGGTAGAAGTTCCTAGGAAGAGGGAAATGAGGACTCCGGGTGTGATCTAACCAGAGGAACTAGGATCTCAGCCATGCACTAGGGGCAGGGGGTGGGGTATCACACCCCCTTTTTGTCCTTCCCTCCTAGACTGGACTCTCCCTCCCCCACCCACCCCTCACAAGCCCCTAGATACACTCACTCTGTACCTTCTCTTTGTCTTGAGATGCTGATGAATTGGATTTCTTTGCTGCCAGGAGTATAAATATTTTTCTGTTGCCACTCCCACCTAGAGCCAGCTGGCATGTCCGGTTAGCTCTGGTTTTTCCCACTTCTCTCCTTGTACACACCCCTTGTGGTGTGCACACACAGATAACAAACGTGGCATTTGAAGGGTTGTGTTCCCAGCTTCATAGCTGTTGGATCTTGTAGGGATTTATGTTAGGATTCATGTCTGGCCAGCTTAGCCAGACCTTGAGCCTGTGGTAAGGAAGGTCTATGAGTTGTAAAGGGAAAGCCAAGGGGCCCACCCTGGACGACTCCTCTAGTTTCCCTCTTCTTCTTCTATCTAGTTTCCAGATGAAACCTTGAGGAGTGGGGAGCTGCTGAACATGATCGTGGCTGTTATTGACTCTGCACAGGTGAACATGGAACTTTGGCATCTGCAGAATGGCCTAGAAGGCAGGACTGAGGAAATCAGGGCCTCTGCTTTCTGTTCAGGCATACAGGCAGGAGCCCATGCTCCACAGCACACTGCCTCCTGGCTGCAGTTGGACGTACTTTAGGCCATGGAGGATGGGGAGGAAAAGTGCAGATCAAAGGCCAGTTCTGCTGGGGTTGCTGTTTGTTTGTTTGGGGCGGGTGGGTACCAGGGATTTAACTCAGGGGCACTGACCACTGAGCCACATCCCCAGCCCTCTTCTGCATTTTATTTAGAGACAGGGTCTTGCTAAGTTGCTTAGCACCTCTTTTTTGCTGAGGTTGGCTTTGAATTCTTGATCCTCCTATCTCAGCCTCCCGCCCGAGCCACTGGGATTACAGGCATGTGTCGCTGTGTCCAGCTCATTTATTTATTTTTATTTATTTATTTTGCAGTACTTGTGATTGAATTTAGAGGTGCTCTACTGCTGAGTGACAACCTTTTTTTTTTTTTTTAATTTTGAGACAGAATCTTACTAAATTGCCATAGGCCTCAAATTTTTGATCCTCCTGCTTCACTCTCCTAAATTGCTGGGATTACGGGCATGCACCATCACACTTGGTGAGGGGTTTTTTTGTTTTTGTTTTTTTCTCAACTGGCCTTCCCCTTGGCTCAGAATGAAAATCATCACATCATTTCTACTTGACTTTTCCACCATGCGTAGGGCCCCAAGAGATGCTGGGATTCATCTCATGCCTGGACTAAGGATCCTTTTTTCTCCTGTTTGCTCATTGGAAATTAGCACTCAACAGTTCACCTTTCTTTGCCTTTACCTGCCCACGTGTAGGTCTAGAACCTGGCCCCCCAGGTCCTTCACCCACAAGGCTAAACTAAGTAAGACCAGAAGGAAAAGTTGTCCTTTCACTCTGCCATCAGGGTGTGAATAGTTTTCCACAAGTGTTCTTGCCCCAGAATAGGCCCAGGGTTACTACTCAGTTGGTTGCTGTTTGACCAGCCCCTTCATCCTTCAGAGACTGTAGCTTTCATGGCATTATGCCTCTCCCTTCACAGTGGCCTCTGGCCTCTTTTAGAGCTGATGACTCTGCCTTTTCCCTCTTCTTCCATAGCTCCAGGAGCTGGTCTGCCATGTGATGATGGGGAACCTGGTCATGTTTCGAAAAGATTCAGTCCTCAACATACTCAGTAAGTGACCAGACCTTTTAGATGCCCAGGAGAGGAGAGAGTGTCGGCCTATGTGTTTTCCAGTGACAAGAACACTGGTTCTGGGGCTGGGAGTGGAGGGGTAGCACGCCACCCCAGCCTACCTGCTATGTGGTCTTGGATTGGTCTCTTTCATAAGATGGAAAGGTTTACCTCTGTCCCTCTAACTTCAGGGTGGGTGGGAATACAGAAGCCCTGTGAAGACTGAAATCAGGTGTCATGTGGAAAGGGCAAGGGCCTAGATTTAAGGTCACTGTCCCTCCCCTTACGCCATCCCTGCCCTATCTTGTCCCTATTTGGAGTGCTGATAGCCAGTTAGCTGAGCGTGTGTGTGTAAGAGAGAGATAGATGGAGGTTTCTTGTCTCTTCCAGTCCAGAGCCTAGACTGGGAAACCTTTGAGCAGTATTGTGCCTGGCAGCTCTTCCTGGCCCACAACATCCCCCTGGAGACCATAATCCCCATCCTGCAGCACCTCAAATACAAGGGTGAGTAGGGTTGAAGATGGGAGAAGACCTCCAGTGCAGCTGGGGCAGGGCTGAGGCCGCCAGCTTCTAGGGTGAACCAGAGCCCTGCTCCTTCCCACCATGGTGCAGAGAGCAGGCTCACTGTTGGTCATTGGGCCCTGGAGATGAGCTTTGCAGGTGCATCCTGAGCCTGGCCCCTGGGCTGTGGCTCAGATGCCTCTGGCATTAGGATCAGGGTAGGGGATTCTTCCTGGCTTTTCGTCAAGGACTGTCCTTGGTCTTCCAGTGGCTGTTGGTGGGGGTGTGGGAGAGGTGCCCAGATCCATTCGTGGAATAACACATTCCTCTGAGCAGCCTGTACCCTTCCCCCATAGAACACCCAGAGGCCCTGTCCTGCCTGCTGCTGCAGCTCCGAAGAGAAAAGTGAGTTCTACCCTTAGAGACTCTTAGCCCTTAGTCCCAATGTCCTAAGAGATACTGTGGCATAAAGGGCTCTGTCCTGCTCCTTTTGCCATGTTTGTTTCCTATTATTGACATCTGCTTATTCTGCCCTCCCCTCAGTGTGACTTACAAATAAGCAGTCCCCTGGGATCTGGGCTTCCTCTGACTTTACCCCCCCTGCCCACCAGAAACTGTCCTCAGAGGTGGGGACCGGACATCCCTGTTTCCTGCTACCACAGCAGTTCTAATCCTGGTGGCTCATGCTCCCCTCCCTCATGCTCCTGCAGGCCACCACAGGCTAATCCAGGAGGAGGAAGGGTCAGAGTAGAGGGCTCACACCCATGCTCTCCCTTAACCTACACAGTGCAGAGCCAGCTGGGCCCATTGTGCCCCTGCCAGGGGTGGGGCATGGTGGGCAAGAAAGCAGAAGTCTCCTCTTCCATCACAGGCAACTTAGCACCATCCCCAGGCTAATGGGGCCACAGCTGTGTGTCTTTTCCTTCCTACCTTCTTGTCTTCCTTCCACCTTTTCTCCTGAGACACTAGAAATGGTACAGAATTTCCTGGGGAAGTGGGAAGTTTGGAGGCCTCTCTCCTGCCCCTCCCTCAACCTGGATACCAGGCTTACCCCCAGCTCCAGCAGGTCAGGGGACCACAGACTTGTCCTTTGTCTCTTAGTCTCCCTCCTGACTCCTCTGGGGTAGCTAGGAGTTTGTTGGGCCTCCTTCCTGACACATACTTGCACACTTTCCACCATCAAACAGAATAATCTCACTTCTCCTCTGGCTTCTGCAGAGAGTGCAGCCATGTGTTCCTTGGCCCAAAGAGAAGTGGGGGAGGGATGTGAGTGTAGGAAGCGACAGCCAGGCTTGGGTTGGGTAGGGAGGCTCAGATTCGGGAAATCAGTAGTAAATAAGCGGCTCCTAAGGCCAGTGTGTGGGCACAGCATCCAGCACCCTGCTCCCCCCAGGCCCAGTGAGGAGATGGTAAAGATGGTCCTGAGCCGGCCCTGTCATCCCGACGACCAGTTCACCACCAGCATCCTGCGGCACTGGTGCATGAAGCACGATGAGCTGCTGGCAGAGCACATCAAGTCCCTGCTCATCAAGAACAATAGCCTCCCTCGCAAGAGGCAGAGGTGGGATGTGGTCCTTGTTTCCTGCCCACTGTCAACGGGGCATCACCAGGGCAGTCTACAGTGACTGCCGCCTACGGTTGGTGGGTGACATCTAGTGGTCTGAAGCCATGCGGCCTATAGGACCAGTGTGGCTCCTACTCCCCTCTCATCGTGCCCTGCAGCTGTACACCTTTCTTAGCACACCCAGTCTTCCTATCTCCCCTGGGGAATGGACTGCCTCTGTCCTGAGGAGGGATCTCGGTGAGGTGGAGGTGTCACACGACTGGAGCCCTCCCTTTAGGCTCAGACCAGCTCTTGTCACCTCCCTGTGCAGTCTCAGAAGCTCAAGCAGCAAGCTGGCCCAGCTGACTCTAGAGCAGATCCTGGAGCACTTGGACAACCTGCGGCTCAACCTGACCAACACCAAGCAGAACTGTATGCTTCTTACCCTCTTGGGGTCTAGTGCGTGGAGTGCTGCCCAGCTCAGACGCCCCTAAAGCCAGGCGGGTGGCAGGGGCAGAACCAGAACCCAAACTCTTGGGAGGAAACAAGCTTTGGTGTGGTTTAATAAGCTCCCAGACATCTAATCATTTTTCTTCCCTGCTCTCCTTTCCTTCTCCCTCCAGTTTTTAGCCAGACCCCAATCCTCCAGGCACTGCAGCATGTCCAAGCAAGTTGTGATGAAGCCCACAAGATGAAGTGAGGCTCCTTCCACTTCTGGTCTTGGGAAGTAGCGAGCAGAAGGCCTAGGGGAGAGGAGGCCCACTGGGGACACAAGCTTAATAGCCATCAAGACCCTGAGGTTGGGCTGGGAATATAGCTCAGTTGTAGAGTGCTTCTCTTGCATCACAAGGCTCTGGGTTCAATCCCCAGCACCGCCAAAAAACACCAACAAAAAAACCCCAAGGTTGATAAGAGAAATAGACCTAAGCCTGTGGGCAGAAAACAGCATGGGAGGTGGCCATGGGGTCAGGATGTTCCACTCTGAGAGTTTATTCTCCTTCCCCTTAGGTTCAGTGACCTCTTCTCCCTGGCAGAGGAATATGAGGACTCGTCTACTAAGCCACCCAAGAGCCGGCGAAAGGCAGCTCTGTCTAGCCCTCGAAGTCGGAAGAATGCCACTCAGCCGCCCAATGCTGAGGAAGAGTCGGGCTCCAGCAGTGCCTCGGTGAGACCCCGTCCAGCACCATGGGGAGAGGCGCAATGGGGCGGATGGAATGGGGGCCAGCAGGCAGCTGCCCAGCTAGTGATTTCCCTTCTCCCCATCCCCGTCTCTTCCAGGAGGAAGAAGACACAAAACCAAAGCCCACCAAGCGGAAACGAAAAGGGTCTTCTGCCGTGGGTTCTGACAGTGACTGAGATCCTATGTTCCCCATCCTACCCTCAACTGGACTGCCCTCCCCCTGGTGAATCAAAGGGTAACAGGGCTGGGGAGATACAGGGAAGATGCCCTCCCTGCCCTGAGCTTGCCCAGTGGAAAGGATGAGCTGCTTCTGACACCAGCCTGAGGAGCTGCCGTGCAGCCCCCCTCTGCCCCTCTGTCCTGGGGCCTCCTGTTCCCCACATTGCCACTTCCACTGCCATTTGGGTCTCATGGCAGCCAGAGGCTGTGCCAGACCAGACCCTGGTGGAATTGATCAGCTCCCTGCCCCTCCTTCAGCCCCCTCCCCATCTCCCAAAGAACGCTTAGCAGAGAAGGGCAGTGACAAAGGGGCGCCTGGCTGAGAGGCTAGGACGAGAGCAGGTGCTGGCTGTGGGTCCGCTTCCTGCTTCCCCGGGTTCTGGATTTGCTCTGAACACATGCTCTGTGGTCATTCTCCACACCAGTGTGTAGTGGGCATCGACCTGGTATGGTGGCCACTATTCCAGGCAGATGCCATAAACCTTCAGGAAGGAACCTGAAAGGGACTGTGCCCAGGAGGCTTGGGTTGATCTGCAGTTGTCACCTAAGGCTGGGCCACAGCCCAGGAGAGTCCCAGAGGCAAGTTCCTCAGAACTGTCAAATGGTCTGGTTTCCTAGGTTCTGTTTTTGCTTTTTTTTTTTTTTTTTTTTCTTTTTGACTTTTTTCCCTCCAGAGATAATCACATTAAAAAAATTGTTTTTAAATGACAATAAAACAAACCAGAAGATCTTTTGTGCCGGAATTGGAGTCCCATTTACTCTCTGCATGTAGAGTGGTCTCAGTTTAATTGGTGCCCTTGTTGGTGGCCTGCCCACTGTCACAGCTTTCCCTCCTCTCCCTTCCTGCCCTGCCTACCCGCAGGAGGAACTTTGCCCTTCCCATCCTGCATTTTGGAGGTGTGAGCCAGACACTGACCTGTCCAGGTCAGAAACTGATGAGGTCCCATTTCCCTGCAGGCTGAGGTCTGCCCTTGCCGGTTGTTCCTCAAGACACTAGAGATTTAGTCAAGCCGGGGATGGAACTCATCAGCAGAACAATTTTTCAGCATGCATGAACCCTGGGCTCAATTACCAGTCTCAAAAAACAAGCAAACAAAAAAAAAAGGCTTCCAAAGTTATTGTCTGTCGTATTTCAGTTTATTTATTAAGTTAGCATGCTTGTCAGCTGCACTATCCGGGAGGGACCTTCCAGTCTGCGACCTGAAAGACAGGTGTGCCTGGGAGAGAGAAGTCCAAATGCCAGGTCTGGGGGGCCGCCACCTGAACAGCAAAGAGCTACTTGGCTATGCTTTGTTTCTCTGCTGCCCTCGGAGATTGGAGGCCTGCTGGACAGAGAGGAGTGAGGTTGGGCTCACTGCGGACACCCTGAAAACTTGCCTTTTCACAGAACCAGGTTCTTCTCCCCCTCGGAACTGCTACTCCTTCCTTTGAAAATCTAAACCCCCAGAGGCCTTTTCCTTCCTCCCTCCTTCCCTAGTTTCCTCTGCCCCAATTAAAACCAGGATGGAAAGCATTCGCTGCTGGCCCCAGTTACTGTACCCTTGCCCAAAGGGAGGAGTCTCCCCCATATCCCCTCCAGAAATCAAGCCCTCTGGGCCTCCACCTTTCACCTACTTAACTCTGGAGCCCCCCACCCGTCCCTGAGGGTTGCCGCTGAAGGATGGGCAGGGACTGGCTGTCGAGCCTGGACTTGTAGGACAGAATGGGCCAGGGGCCAAGTTCTTCGGTCGCCTTTGGAAGGGAGCAGTGGTGTCCTCCCCCATCACGGGTGAAAATGAGCAATACTGACTGAAGGGTGGACTGCGGTCTAAACGCCCTGGCTTTCAGGCCGGGACTCCAAAGTCCAGCCACTGGCCTAAACCTCCCAAGAGGAGAAAGAATTTAAAGCGGAACACACAACCCTGGGACTTGAGGGAAGGACAACACCGCCCAAGACCTGATAGGGTGCGGGCGCACAGTGCGAGCTGCCGGGAGGGAGCGCGCCCAGGGCGGGGCGTAGGCTGTGGGGAGGGCCGGGGGCCGCTCCCCCACCCCTCCGCTCGGGGCCAGCTCGCTGCTGGTGGTGGGTGGGGGGCTGGGTGGGAAGGGGCGTGTGCCAGCGCACGCGCGCGCGCTCCCGAAAAGGAGAGGTCCCAGAGCAAGAAGGAGCGGGCCCAGTTTTTCGGAGGGAGTATCAGGGGTGTTTGTGAGCGTCTAGGGCCGGTCGGTGCCGAGGAAAGGAAGAGGGCACCATGGCTGCCCTGCTACTGCTTCCCCTGCTCCTGCTGCTGCCTCTGCTGCTACTGAAGCTGCACCTCTGGCCGCAGTTGCGCTGGCTCGCGGCCGATTTGGCCTTCACGGTGCGCGCCCTCCGCTGCAAAAGGGCTCTGCGAGCTCGTGTGCTGGCTGCGGCTGCCGCCGACCCAGAAGGTCCGGAGGGGGGCTGCAGCCTGGCCTGGCGCCTCGCGCAACTGGCTCGGCAACGCCCGGCGCACACCTTCCTCATTCACGGCGCGCGGCACTTTAGTTACGCGCAGGCGGAACGTGAGAGTAACCGGGCTGCGCGCGCCTTCTTGCGCGCGCAGGGCTGGGACCCGGGACGCGGCGGAGGCGTCAGGGCGGCGGGGAGCCCGTGGGCAGGAGACCCAGCAGCCGGAAGCAGCGCGGCGCCTCCAAAGGATGGGGTGGCCGGAGATGAAGGAGCCATGGCCCCTCTGGCACCTGGGGCGACCGTGGCGCTTCTCCTCCCCGCCAGCCCAGAATTCCTGTGGCTCTGGTTCGGGCTGGCCAAGGCCGGCTTGTGCACGGCCTTCGTGCCCACCGCCCTGCGTCGGGGCCCCCTGCTGCATTGCCTTCGCAGCTGCAGTGCGCGCGCGCTGGTGTTTGCGCCAGGTAAGGCTGGAGCGCCGAACTGACCGAGGCGGGGCCAGCCCAGGAGGGACATGTCTGGAGTCCGGTGAGGGCTGGGTCTTGTCTCTGGGCCTGGGAAACCGCCGAACTGTCTCCCTGGGGTTCAGAAGTGAGTGGGATTTGAGTCCGTGGGTTTTGGAACAATTGGTGCTGAATCTCTTTCCCCAAGAACAATTCCAAGGAGTGGGGCTTCAGGTCCCAGACCCGTGATGGAATGTCCCTGCCCTTCACCTTCATCCAAGAGCAGTGCGACAGATCTGGAGCATTGGCCAGGGCGTAGGAAAGTTTCCACAGTCGCCGAGTTGTGCTTTCCTACCCCTTCTAGAATTCCTGGAGTCCCTGGAGCCCGACCTGCCTGCCCTGAGAGCCATGGGGCTCCACCTGTGGGCTACGGGTCTTGAAACCCGTCTTCCTGGAGTCAGAGATTTTCTGGCTGAGGCAGCAGCCGAAATAGATGAGCCTCTGCCGGGATACCTCTCTGCCCCCCAGAACATGATGGACACGTGCCTGTACATCTTCACCTCTGGCACCACGGGTGAGGGCTGGACACCAGGCTTACCTTAGGAAACTAAGGCAGAGGAGGGAGGGTCTGGGAACAGGAACGGGGACCTCCTAAGCCCCCGAGAGCACCTCTTCAAGTCTCCTAGAGGGGGCACCTATCCTGGGGCACCTCCTCTCTCTCCAGCCCTCCCACTCCCTCTTCGTTCCTCACCTCCCCAAAGTACCCACATCTCCTGGATGGCCGGACCGCCCTCTGATTTCTGATGATTCTGATTCTGACCCCAGCAGGGGAAAACGGGGAGCTAGGACTCAGAGCCTAGCTCTTCCCCTGATCACCCGGCTCCCACCACCTCACAGGCCTCCCCAAGGCTGCTCGGATCAGTCACCTGAAGATCCTACAGTGCCAGGGATTCTACCAGTTGTGCGGTATCCACCCGGAGGACGTGATCTACCTTGCCCTGCCACTCTACCACATGTCTGGCTCCCTGCTGGGCATCGTGGGCTGCCTGGGCATCGGTCAGCCCCCCGCCCTTCTGTCAACAGATGTTTATTAAGTGTCAGCTGTCGAATGCTTCCCAGGGATGAGTTCTAAGGGCAGAGAATCCAGAGGGAGGAGGAGCAGGGCCACACTCTCCCCAGATCTTGGTACAGTGGGGACACGCACCATGTTTCATGCTCTGCCTACAGATTGAGTGACCAGGGAGACCACAGGATTCACAGAACTCCAGACTCAGGGACAAAGTGGGGCAAGGGTTCTGTCAGTCAGTCTAAGAAAGGGCATAGAAGAGGGTGGGACTTGAGCCCGGGTACAGGGGTGGAATATTTGGGGCAGGGAATCGGAGAAGGGTATTGTCCTCTCAAAGGCATGGGCAGGAAGGAAGGAATGTGCCTGGAGCCTTGACCTGCTAGAGGTCTGGCTCTCCCTGCGGCTTCTTCCCAGGGAGCTGGCCCAGCTAGTGACCTGTCCTCCTTCCCTCTTCGCTTCCTGCTTCCGGCAGGGGCCACAGTGGTGCTGAAGTCCAGGTTCTCAGCTGGCCAGTTTTGGGAGGACTGCCAGGAGCACAGGGTGACGGTGTTCCAGTACATCGGGGAGCTGTGCCGATACCTGGTCAACCAGCCCCCGGTGCGTTTGGCCAGGTCACCCTGACAGTCGTCTGGGAATTGGAGGGAAAGGAGAAGGAAGTGGGCGTGGCATACAAGGAGCCCAAGATGGCTTAAGCTACCTGAGGCTTAGGGCCTCTGAAAGAGGTCACAGGGGAGGGGCTTCGCACTGGGGACCTGGCGTTTGGGTGTGAAACCCCTCCCTCTCCCCCACTCGTTTCAGAGCAAAGCAGAACTTGGCCATAAGGTCCGGCTGGCAGTGGGCAGCGGCCTGCGCCCAGACACCTGGGAGCGTTTTGTGCGGCGCTTTGGGCCTCTGCAGGTGCTGGAGACGTACGGACTGACAGAGGGCAACGTGGCCACTTTCAACTACACAGGGCAGCGCGGTGCTGTGGGACGTGCTTCCTGGCTTTACAAGGTGAGAGGAACCCCACAGATCACGGGGAGGCTGGCGGGAGGGAGGCCCAGGCACTGGAATGACCCCGAGCTGGGTCTCCCTTCCCCCAGCACATCTTCCCCTTCTCTTTGATTCGCTATGATGTCACCACAGGGGAGCCAGTTCGGGATGCCCAGGGGCACTGTGTAGCCACATCTCCAGGTTTGTGCTCAGGTGGGGTGGGTGGTGGTGGTGAAGGAGGGTTAGAATTGGTGAATGGGGTAGGGCCAGGGGCCAGGACGCTCTGGGCGAGGTGGACAGTCACTCCTGACCCCACTGACTCTGCCAGGTGAGCCAGGGCTGCTGGTGGCCCCTGTAAGCCAGCAGTCCCCATTCTTGGGCTACGCCGGGGGGCCAGAGCTGGCCCGGGGAAAGCTGCTGATGGACGTCTTCCGGCCTGGAGATGTTTTCTTCAACACTGGGGACCTGCTGGTCTGTGATGACCAAGGCTTTCTCCGCTTCCATGATCGCACTGGAGACACCTTCAGGTATCTCCCATAACCTGGCTCCTTACCCTGGACATCTCTGTGACCCTGAGCTCGGACAGCCCGCCCCCTAACTCCTGCCTCACCTGGACTCCCATCCAGCCTCTCGTTCTCAGACCTCACGAACACTCAGTCCCCGACAGTCTGGTACCTGACCTCTGACCTCTCTCTCCCCATCAAGCTCCCCAGCCCTGATCTGACTCCCAGCTTTAGATCTCTGCCTCCCACAGGTGGAAAGGGGAGAATGTGGCCACAACTGAGGTGGCGGAGGTCTTTGAGGCCCTGGATTTCCTTCAGGAGGTGAATGTCTACGGAGTCACTGTGCCAGGTACCTAAGCAAGGAAGGTGGGGGCGTCCTGCGGCCCATCACCCCCGAGAAGCACGAGGCCTTCCTGGTGGCCGGCCTCGGGTGGCTCATCCGCTCTTTATCCTTCCAGGGCACGAAGGCAGGGCTGGGATGGCAGCCCTGGTTCTGCGTCCCCCGCATGCTTTAGACCTTGGGCAGCTCTACACCCATGTTTCTGAGAACTTGCCCCCTTACGCCCGGCCTCGGTTCCTAAGGCTTCAGGTAACCGCCACTCCCGCCCAGCCCCGCCCCCCAAAACCACAACAGTTGGTGATTCCTGCACTCCACAAAGGGCTCCCACGGAAGACACTGAAGAAACGAACAGCGCCGTCCCAGACACACGCTCCTCGGCCCCTCTCCCTGTCCCCCCCCAGGCCTGGACCTTCCCTTCCCTGTCACCTCTTGGCTTAGCCTTATCTAATGGCCCTGCCCCTGGATTTGCCCCTTAACCAATCCAGACACTCACCCGAGCTGACTGGGCAGGATACTTTCCTTCCACACCTGTGGGCCCTTCCTCCTGCAGGAATCGTTGGCCACCACCGAGACCTTCAAACAGCAGAAGGTTCGGATGGCGAATGAGGGCTTCGACCCGAGCACCCTGTCTGACCCCCTCTACGTTCTGGACCAGGTTGTAGGTGCCTACCTGCCCCTCACACCTGCACGGTACAATGCCCTTCTGGCTGGGGACCTTCGAATCTGAGACCTTCCAGGCCTGAGGCACCTTGGGAGGGACTCTGGGGGTGCTCTGAGACACG